TAAAATACTTTTAATTAATTATCGATTTATATCTAAAAATATGGAATTGATTTTGTATTATTAAAAATCATCAAAAAAATGTATATGTACACAAATTATGAGAAAAACCCTCCTAAATAGCCTTTAAATAATATTTAGGATAGTTTAGAATTGAACTAAACTCAATAGACTTAATAATTTGAAGTTGAATCAATAGAAAGTAAATGATATATTAATAATATATAAGATGATCATTAACTTAATTATTCTTTAAGAAGAGCCGATTTCATTAGTAGCGTATATGCTGCATTAGTGATTGAGAATTTCATAATTCTTGGAGTTATTCTTCTAGGTCTTTTTTCTGAATTACAATTTTTGTTAATTACCAAAACTTCTAATATTAAAGATTTTTGTTATTGTGAAACAAAAAAGGCATCAGACTGTGATAAGGATTGCCTTGTTTCTCAGAAAGATAGTTATGATATTAAACCCACTTATTTATTTTATTGTTTCTTAATAATTGGAATAATTCTATAAATTTGGTTGAATTACGGAATAACATATATTCGTAAAGTAAAATTATTATAATTATTATATTAGCAATTTTGGGTTTCATAATTAGTATTATTAATAATAACGTTTTCTGGTTATGTATTAACGATCTCAACGATATGCATATTGATTGCTTATAATTTTGGAATTGCTTTGATATTGGTTGGATGGCTAAATGCATTTGTGATAATTTTTTGTTTTGCTTTTTATACAATGAAAACAAAAAGTGAAATCAATTATGGAAGTATAATTCATTCTTAACATTTAAGTCGGAGCAATATTTATATTAAGTCCAACTCTTTTATTCTTGATAACATATATCAATATAACACCTAATTATGCTATTTTCTTTTCTCTTAATAGCCTAATTATAATTAGTTTTGGTTTCTTTTTGATTTGGGAATCAAAAAAAATACTCAGTTAACAGCGAGTATCATAATATTATTTATAACATAGACTATTAAATTATCAATAATTGAAATATTGATAGGATCAGAATTACTTATCAATTTTGTTAATTAAGGTTTCTTTAGGGCCATTGAAATGATAAAAAATATTAGGAAAAATAAATGAGACAATAGATATACATAAATTATAAATATAATTAATATATGATTTTAAATAACTTATTATGAGAATGTACCATAATTAATTAATAGCACCCTAAATAAACGGATTCTATATCTAAAGAATAAGGAACTAAATTTCTTTGACTTTAAAACAAACAATAAAAAAATTTATTAAATTTTAAGATTTCTTATCAATCAATTTATTTAGCAAATTTCATAGGAATATTAAGATCATATCCTATTAAACATTATTAAATTAAATAAAAAAAAATTTTTTTGGAAAATTCTTACATCTAATTTAATTGATAAAATAATAAATTTTTAAAAAGCTTTAATTTAAATTTGTTTTTGAATAACTTTTTTCTAGAAGTTAATAATTAACAGTGTCTATATTATTTAGCATTTATCATTGATTTATATGATAATAATTTAAATTATTAACATAGATTAGTATTTTCAAAAAATAAACATAAACTCATTAACTGTGATTTTGACATAAAGCTAGAAAAATAAAATAGGAGGCTATTTAAAGTTTGGCAAGGAGCTTTAGATTTGAACAATAAATTAACTTTATCAAAATTACCTCAAACATTTATTTGAATCATTAAATGATTAAAAATATAATAATATTTATAATTACAACAAAATGAATTCAACATCAATATATGATGATAAGACGTGAGCTTTTCTTATGATAACTTAGAAAATTGTATTTAGTAATGTAATATTTATAAATGGTTTATTTCATTACTCAAATTTGATAGCTTCAAGTGAAACATAAGAATCTCTATATTTTAAAGTTTCAATTTGCTTTTAAATAACAAACCCAAAAAAGATTATCAATTCAATTTAATTAAAAATTTTGAGTAATATTTTTAAAGTAATTTATAAATTAAAGGATTTATATCTAATTTCTCGAATTTTTATGATAAAAATAAAAATAAATTGAACAATTTATTTTTAGTGGGTAAAACAATCAATTTAGAAATTTATATTACTAAGTTTATGAAAAAAATTACTCTCCCTTTAAGTGATTTAAAGCTTATATTATTCATATACATCTAATGAAAAAGTAAATATTTGAATGAAATCGGTTCTTTAATAATCTAAGATGATGATAAAGATCATAATCATTTTCAGATTGGAAGAAATGTTTTTTAATTTATAGGTTTAGGTTGATATGTATATACTTAGACTCAATCAATATTATACAATGCAGTAGTATATTATTCATCTTTTTTTTAGGATTTATATATTCCAAATCAATATGAATATAAATACTTGAGACAATAATCTTTCTAAAAAAGTTATATAATATCTGATTAGAAAGGTTGAGTATGTTTTCGATGTACAATTATATTTATAACAAAATTATTTAGGAGTATATTTTTTAATTAATTTGTTATTTTTTCACTACTTTATTTGCTTATTTAAGTTTATAAGTTTATTTTATTTGAAACTTTCCTTCTATTGGCGTAAATTATGACGCAAGACTTCATTTATAATTGATCATTTAGTTTTACTAATTAGAATAATTGTTTCGTAAACCTTAAACTAATTGAAAATAAAATAATCAAGATTAAGGAATAGTTTAAATCTCTTAGAATATGCTTATTAAAATACTTCATAAACTTAATCAAATTCTTTAAAAAAAATAAAAAGTATATATCTTATGCGGTAAAAAATCAAATAAATTTTCCAAAAACTATTTGGAAAACTTTCCAGTGGTATAATCAAATCCAACGATTTTAATTGTTTTTTTTTACATTTTCATTAGAAAATATTGAAAAGACAAAAAAGTCAAAATTTTATTTTTTTTAAATAAAATAAGTCTTAACTCAAAGTCAACAATTTTAGCATAATTGTTTAAAAAGGCAAACCACAACCTAAATCACAACTATCAAATTTTCTTTTTTCACAATTTGCAATTGTAAATTATATAGGGTTAACTCATATCTCTTAAGGAGGTAAAGTAATTAATGAAAAAATATTAAATAAAATACACTCATTTAATAAAGAGAGAAACTTATAACATTAATTACTGAAATTAAAAAAACTTTTAAAGATATATTTAAATTTATATATGATTATTTATATTAATGATACTCAACCTTTTGCACCTTTTTGATGTAATATTTCAATAATTGATTTTTGATCTGACATAATAGTTGATTCTGATAAAATACATTCTTGAGCATACAATAATGATTACTATGAAAATGATTAATAACAAAAGATTTTATACTAATCATTAATCTAGCTAATTTAATTTTAAGTATTTTCATTTTTCTTCGACTCTATTTTTTTATAGTAATTAGTTTATTTAATATCAATTGAAAATAAATTAACAGATCCATCTTTTAAACCAACTGCAAAATTAGTTCCATTTGGGTAAAATTTAAGAATCTGTATTTAATCATGTATTTAATTATTTGAACATAATATCTTACATTCCTTTATATTCCATAGTGAAATGGAATTTGTAAAGTCTAATTAATTTTATAAGCCTGTTAATAAAAGATCTCCTTTAGGGGATAATGCAATACATTTAATAGTATTTTTATTTTCTTCAATCGTCCTATAAATATTAAACTCTTTGTTATTTTAAAATATATAAATTTTGACAAAATTTAAACCCATTAAAGCAAAATAGTTCCAATTTTAACATATTTAAATCTCATTTACCTCAAAATCTAAGTCCTATTAATTCATTAAATTCATAGTCTTAGAATCTAAAATTTAAATACTATTATGTGTAAATAAATATATTAGTTCTCCACATGGAGAATAAAATATCTAACCATGATTAATTTTTTTATCTAAAATACTACATTATTCAGAGCTTAAGCATTTTATATGTTCAATATTGATTATTCTGATATTATGTGGATGATTATCCAATAAAAAATACTATTCATTTTAACTAAAAAGTGGTTTTTTTGTTGAATTAAAAATGCCTAAGAAAAAATTTTAGTTTAATTTATTATTTTGATTTAATGTATATTTTGTTTCAGTATTATTTTATTTTATTTTTTCTGAATCTTCAAAAACTTTATATTGTATGAATGAATAATTTAAACTAAACACAATGTCACGGATTTAATTTTAATAGGTAATCTTTTTAATTTCTTCTATTTAATCAATCTTAGAAATATTAATAAATTACAGCTCTTTATTATTCAAAATTACTAAAATTTCATTCGATTAAAATCGAATCATTTATCCTGTAAATTCTTTGTTTTGAATTAATGGTTGAAGATTTTCTATTTAATATATATTTAAGAAAGGTTCTATAGAAATAAAATACTTACTATCAGGAGAAAAACAAGTTGATTGAATTGTTATTTCTTCAAAGTCTATTAAATGCATAGCTGGAATTAATTTAAATACTTTAATTTCATTCATTTATAATACAGTTAATTCTTATTATTAAAAATCATATCCAAAAAATTCCATTACTTCTTCTAATCCTGGTAATTACCATTATCCTATTAATTCATAATTTAGTAATTCATCGATTTTCCACAGATATATTTTCATATATGAGCAAATAATGAATCCTTTATCATTATTTGTAAAAGCAATCAAAAATTTTATATTTTCTTAAATTTAAATTTGACATTGTTTATTATAATTCTTCAAAATAATTTCAAATTAATTGTTTTTATTTTCTTAAGCAACTGCTATTGTAAAAATTTCATCATTTTTGGAAAAAACTATCTAAAAATAATTATCACTAATTATCTCAAAATAATTTTAAGGATTTTTAATTTACCATACAGATATACAAGTATAATCACAAGTTATTAAATATTAAAAGTTACTAGAAAATTTTAATTATGCCTTTCGAGGAATTTTTACCGAGAGATTGATTAATTCTGCCTATTGAGTCTATATATTCCAATTTCTAACAGTACCATCTGAATAGATTGCATATATTTTGTTTGAATCAATTCTAGAAATATAAAAATTTTCAACTTCTAGCAAGTTTTAATTTGGAATTTCTAATGGTATCAAGATATCTTAATTTTAAAATTCCCATATATAAATGCTACTACTTATTTTTAAAGATTAATTTTATTAACCAGGTATTTGATAACAAAAAGCTAAATATTTATTATCATCAGAAATTGCAATATTTCTTGGTTCTAAACTTATTTTCAATATCTTTTTATTCTTTCTATTTTTTATATCTAATATTTTAATTTCTGAATGATAAATAACTATAGCTAGAGTTAAATCTAATGATAAAATCCCTTATAAAGGTTCCTTTTAATCAAATTCATATCTAATTTTTTCAAATTAAGAATTAATTTTATTCATATCGTATATCTAAATTCTTCTTGATTTTTTATTATCCAATTTTTTTTTTCTTTTATTTTCAATTATATATAAAAATTTACCATCAGGACTAAGTAAAATAAAATTTGATCTTGACTTAGGAATATAGATATTTTATTTGAACCATTTTTTTTCCTGGTTTTTCTACCAAGAGAATGTTCCAGATTTTTCAAAACTTAAAATAAAATTTTGAACTTATGATGGTATAATTTAAAAAATGTATTTATTTTTTTCTAAAATTTCTGATTTTTAAGTTTGTATATTTAAGATTGTTAAATTAAAAGTGGAGTCAACATAAATAAATTATTCATCTGAAATAAAATTATATATTTAATTGATTTAGCGAACTGGTTTCTTTTATATTTTTAAATATATGATTTTCTATTTTAATTTATCTATTTTCTAATAGTTCCATTTTTATATATTATCTAAATTGCAAATTGTAATTAAGTTTTATTCTTTAGGAGAAATGCTAAGAGAATTTATGCAAATATTTAATTCATCCATAATGTATATTATTTATGCTGTTTTAGGATATTGAATGTTCCAAATAATTATTACTCCATCTTCATCTCCTGAAATTAAAAATCTTGAACAATTAGAAAATTCCAAACAATTAATAGAACATTAATGTCCATTTAATTAAGCAACTAATTTTTTATCAATAAGATCCCAAAGAAATATTGGAACTTCATCTTATAAATTCTATAAACTTCCTGATGCAAGTATTTATCCATCTTAAGAAAAAGCTAATGAACTTATTGAATTTAAATGAGCTTACATAACTTCCTATGTTTCATTTTAATTAATATTCCATAATTTTATTAATTAATCATCACTTGCTGATGCAAGCACATTTCCATTCGGTGAAACTGCCATAGAATTAATTGTTTTCCAATGTCCTTTCAGTGTTCCAATAATCTTTTTAGCTTTATAATCGTAAAATATAATATTATTCTTCACTGTGCTTAAAACTAATACATTCTGTTATGATAAGAACTCAATGCAAGTTACTTCATCTATTTTTATATCAATTTCTATAGAAGATGCTGTTTAAGCTTAAAATAAAACGATTTTCTTTTAATTTTTAAGAAATATATATGAATCTCCTCCAATCGCCTTACAACAAGAGTTAATCTAAATATAATAATCATTTGTTGTTTTAAATCCATAAATTTTATTATTAAAAATCCAGCCTTCTCTGTTAATAACAAAAAAAATAAATTTTTCATCTAAACTCAATTCAAATTGTTTTAAATCACTTTCAAAAAAAATTACTGTTTTGTTACAATTCTATAATTCTTATATTTTAAATATACTACCTCTATTAATCGTTACTAAAAAATGTTTTATATTAGATGATTCTAGTTCTGAAAATATTTGTGCTTATTGAGGTATATGATTAGATCTTAATTCTTCATAAGAAAAATAAAAAAGTTAATAATTCATTTTTCTACTATTTGAAATATCAATTAAATGTATAAATTTTCTTGAATTTATCAATATTGCCTCTCCATTCTTTGTAAAAGAAAGGTTGCAAAGCTATTCTGAATAATTATCAAAATCAAAGATATCAATGATATTAAATTAATTCATCGAAAATTCAATCAATTAAATTTTATTTTTTGTTTTTATTGCTATTTAATTTCTTTCTTTAAAATATGTAATCCCGAAAACATTATCTTAAAAATTGATGGTTGATTTTTAATCTATCTGATAAACTAAAAGATTTCTAAATTAATTCAAAACAATGCATTATTCATTATTAATTATTATTTCATAAATTTAAGCATTTTCACAAGGATGAACAAATACTATATTAAATGCTTCCTTTATTTTAATCTCTTATCCATCTTTTATTCCTAGTCCATATTTCCTGTTTTCTAAAATAGAAAAGCAATTAATATATTCATGATATCCACATAATTAAATTTTATTATAGTTACTTATATTCCAGATCCATACAACGTTTTCTTATTAAAATATGATTATATCATTAAATAAATTGACTTGATATTCATTTTAAACAGAAAAATTTAAATAAATTTTACTTTCTTCATCATTCTTACAATTATAAATGATTATCCTTTCCAATAAGAGAATTAATAACTAATTTTAATTTATTCCAAAAAACTCTAAATATTTTGTTCTTTCATAAAATAAAGTTTATATTTATTAAAATTTTGAATCGTAGATTTTAATTACATCATTATCTGCTAATGCAATTAATCCAGTATTTGAAATGGCTCCTGCACAAAAACTTCCTTAAAATATTTATTATTTTTAAAAGCAATTCGATTTCTATAATTTTAATTTTGAATTCTAATTTAATATTAATATCTGCTAACCATTATTTATAAAACATAACTATTTAATTGGAAGATCATATAATTACGATCCTGAATATTTAAATTCTTCTTCTGAATATTCCCATAATTCTAAGACTCTATCTTTCTGTAAGCAAATTAAATTTAAATTATGTGAAAAAGTTATAGTATCAAAATTTATAAAAGTTAAGCTTTCTTTTATTATTTAATAAGATGAAGAATTCAATAAAGTAAGCTTATTTTCGCCTCCAGTTATGATAGCTTTGTTATCTTATGTAAATATTAATTTAAGTTTATTAGGATAATCTAATTATTTATTTTAATTATTCTGATCTTTATTTAAAATCATAATTCTTTAATTTTAATTTATAAAACCTATGAATTTATTATCTATTGAAAATGATACGTCTTTAGATGATGAAATATCTTTTATTTCAAATAAATTATCTCGAATGTAATGATAAATCTAAAAGGATTCTTGAAATACTAATCCTATTTATGTACCATCAGGAGAATAATTCATAGATTAAATTTCTAAATCATTTTAAAATATCTTTTTTTTGATTGCAATTGGTTTTGAATCTAAATTCCAGATTACCAATTCTCCCTTATAAACAGCAGCTAGTTAATTTTAAGAAGGCGAGAATTAAAAATCATAAACTTTTTTCTTATCATTCTCAAGAGGATCTTATATATGCTTATTTAAATTTATATCATAAATTTTTATGGATTCTGCTTCAAAAGTTATGTATGCAACTAATGAACTATTTGCTTTAACACAAAACTTTTCAACTTCAAAATCGAATTCCTCATTTTAATTATCTTAATTTATTGTGTTTGTATCCATTATTTAACATCCTTCCATTTAAATAGCTTCATTTTCTAACTATTTAAATAGAATTAGTAATTTTTCAAAGTTGTTTGAAATACCAAGATGTTGCCATTAATTATTCCAATTAAGGGTACATATTATTTCTTGTTTTTATATATCCAAAATTAAAAAACTTTTTTTAGTTTCTTCTTGTAATAAAAAGAATGATAATTTAGAGCCATCACTAGAAAATTTCAATTATTTTGGTTACAAATCAAAATCTTTTGAATATATTATTTATTCAACTTCTTTTATGATGATTTTTTTCTCTTATACGATTGCAAATAAATTTCCAAATTGATCAGTTGCAATTTCCAAACAAATTTCTTTTTTCTCCTAGTTTTCGATTTTTTATTATTTTATTTCTTACTTAAATACAAAACTACCGGTAATAAAAATTAAATATTCGCTATTCTAATCAAATTATATTTTTTTTAGTTCAATATAATTGAAATTAAATTCACTTATAAATTAATTTGTACTTTTTTTAATATCCCAAACTAAAACGCTTTTTCCTGTTGATATAGCAAGATAATTTCCATCTGGACTAAATAACATATTTAGTATTTCAGCCTTAATATGATTAATAAAAGTTTTAAGTATTTCTTACTATTTTGATGAATAATTTATCAATTCAATTTCATCATTTTCATATGCAATAGCAACTATAGGTTCTATTGGATTTAATGCAAATAACTCCATTTAAGCTTTTTCTATTTTGAAAACATAATTATCAATGAAACTTAAATCATCTTTTTATAGAGTCAAAATTTAAAAAAGCCCTTTTTTATCTAATACATATAATTTTTTTTAGTCTTTAGATAATTATATTTGTAAGATTTCACTTTCCAGTTAAACTAAGATTTCACTTTTAATTTTTATTTGAGGATCTTTAGCATCTTTTAAATTCCATTTTCTAATAGTAAGATCATCACTACCAGACAAAAGTATTGAAGAATCTGATGAAAATGATAAAGAATTGATTGGACCTGTATGTCCTTCTAAATCTTAAATATATTTAAAGGATTCTGCATTCCATAATTTTATTTCGTTTTCTTCTCCTGCTGATACGATATATTAACCATCCTATGAAAATTTTACTTCAGTGACTCTTTTTTTGTGTCCTTATAGAAATGGTTTCTCATTACATATAACATTCAACCATTTTACATTTGATAAATCAGCAAAATTAAGATTGCATGAATTTATTTCTACATTTTCTAATTTTGAATGACTTAGATCACAATCAAAAAAACTTAAACCTGAAATATTTGTGTTGGCTAATTCAATGTTATTAAAATCTTTGGATCCCAAAAAAACATTCATATATTTTAATAGATATATACTATTTGATGCAGATCTACAATATGTTTTTATTTTTGAAAGCTATACTATTTCTATCAACTTTTAAATTATACTATCATCGTTAATTAACATTTCTTTAATAAAGTTAATTACATTCTTGAAGTTTTCTGTCGAAATATTAAATTTTTGATCGTTAAATACTGATTTTAATAATATTTACTTATTTTTCTCAATGTTTACATTACCATTTTAGGTGTTATTAAAATTAGACAATACTACTAAAAGATCATAAATATATTTAGCCACATAAAATTCTTAAATGGATTTATGTGTAAATGAATATGAACTACCTTTTGCACTTAATAAGATACAACTTCTTATTAACTTTTTGTATTCATCTTCTACATCAAAATATTATTTTAACCAATCATCAATTACTTATTCAATTTTATAATTACTTTTTAAATCTAATTTTCCTTATGGTTTGTAGTTTATTTATGATAATTCTCTTATTGTCATATCGATGGCTAGAGAATAAGAGAATTAAAAAATGTCATATTTGAAATTTTAATAATTTGATATTTTACCAGAATCTCTTTATTTATGAATTTATTATTCATGATAAAAACTAATAAAGCTGTCATAGAACTCAAAAACTGTAAACTTTTTCATTTTCAAAGACATTATTACTAAATTTATATCATCAGGATTTAATTTTACTTTATAGCCATCAAAAATAATAGTGTCATCATTATAATTTAATGTACTAACAATTGAATAATTTTAGAAGAAATTCTAACTTTCTAAATTATCAATTATTTTATCTATTTTTGTTTTTTCAATGTAATTATTATATTCTTGATCATTTTCTTCTTTAAGTATTTTTTCATCTTCAAACTTTTTTTAGTTTTATATATTATTTCGATTAAATGGTTAATATTCTTTTTAATAAAATTCTCTTGCAGTTAGTGACATGTTAGCTTATTTTTATAATTTCATATAATTCTTTATCAAATTATCTTTTATTATTGAAGATCCTGTGTACATTCTAGCCATATTTGGTAATACTTAAACTATAATTTCTAACATAAATGGAGTAGTTAATAATTATTGAATATTAATACTTTGGATTGATTTTTTAAATTTATTTACATTCCATAAAGCTAACAATTCTTTTTGTAATGTAGTAGTTTATTCTTCTTTTAATACTTCCAAAGTCTTATGCGTTTTTACTTTTTTAATAATTGCTTCTTCTTCTTTAGGTTGGAAAATTCCATCTGATAAATTAATTTCAGATTTCTTAATACAATCTGTAATTTATGAAGAAATTAAACTCCATATGTTTAGAAATTCTTCCAAATCAAAGGTTTATCCAGAAACAGATTTAACAAATTCATAAACTTCTTTTATTTTCCTTTTGATGCTTAATACAACATATTAATTTAAATATTCATTTTACTAGGCCTCATTAAAATTTTGTAATTAAACTTCTTTTAAAGTTGAAATGCTCTCTCCATAAAACCAAGTTTAGTATCCTGCCGTATTCAATATCTCTTTTCTTGTTGTAATTATTACTTTCATTTAACGATTTACTTTATAAATATTCAAATCTTGGAACAGCTTATTTGTCATCAATAAATTTTATTAAATACAATCTTACTTCATTTCGTCATAACTGTCTAAGATCAATATTATACTTTCTTTTCCATTTTATATAGCTTCTTTAAAATCTCTAATTTAATAATTATCAAATTGATAATTTTCAGATTCTAATGCTTACTCGAATAAATTATACTTTGGATTTTTTAAAGTAGGCAGTGAAACAAAGATAGGAATCCATTTTGAATGAATTCCTTATTAAAGCCATAGATATTCTTCAATTTTTCTGGCTGCTTTACTTTTGCCAGATCCAGCATTTCCAGAAATTAACATCACATCTTTTTTCTCTTTTTATTTATTTTCTTCTTAATTTTTTTATTTATTTTCTGCTTAATTTGTTTATTTATTTTCTTCTTAATCATCTTAAAGTGCTTATTTCGCTAGATTATTTTTTTCTCTTTCTTTTTAAATTTCATCTTCCCAAATAAATTCATTAACCTCTCCTTTTGGATCATCCCATTAATCCACCAATAACTAAGTCGACTCTTTTTCCTCATATAGAATTTTTTCTCCATTCACCGGATCATATTCAATTGTATTCAATTAGACATAAACTGAATCTACATCTGCTAATTTTGATTATGCTAATATCTTTTATTTTCTTATTGCTAATAATTCTTAATAAGTTTTTCCTCTTAATTTACGGATATCATCACCTACTTAATCTATACTATCTTATAAATGATCAATTTAAACTTTTATTTACTTTATATCTCTAGAAATATCTTTAAGGAATATTAAACTAATATTCATAGCTTCTGACATTTCTGAAATATTATCTAAAGATTCATCTAATTCATCATAAGATTTCTTTAACAATATTTAATATTACTCTCTTTTTTATTGATTTCCTTCTAGCTTTATTTATTATTACAAATTTTCTAATTTCTACATTCTTTCTTTAAGTTCATCTTTTATTGATCCTGATAAATTATCTAAAGTTTAAGAAAAAAGCTGCTTCTAAAATTCAATCAATTCTTTATTTTTTAATAAATTTCTCACTCTTTAATCTTTTTCAAAGACCCAAATATAAGATAAAAATTTACATGAAAAAGAAGTTATCTATTATTCTTAGACACCATGTTATAGTCTTATTAAATTGTATACTAATCCTTCCCTTACTTTATGATCAGGTTTCAATTTAATCAAATCAAAAATATTCTCTTTAATATCTTTATAAGCATTTTTAATATCTTACCATATTGAGTCATTTACATTATCTCCTTTGATGAATTACTCAAATTGACTACTAAAAAACATTGAATAAAAAAATGATAAAAAATTTGTTAGTTTCAAATTGATAACTATCTATTCTTTCTTTTAATAAACTGGATTAAATAAACTATTCGATATTTAAGATTTTAGCTTTTCACTAAAAAAATTATCTCTTCGATCCTTAAATTCTTAAATAAAAATGCTAATACTTTGTTGTTCTTAATCTTAAAGTTGATTTTATTACATTGACAATTTATCATCTTATAAGTTTTACTTTTTTGTTGTTTCAATATCTCTAAAAATTGGATATTATTAAAATATCAAATCTAACTAAAGATTTAATAGCTGTTTATATTATTTATAATATTTTTTCGTTATTTTAGTTTATGTAATGAATTTATCATTACTTTCTTAAAACTAAACATAGAAATCAAAATTTTTATCATCTAAATCTTAACTTATATTTTTTGTTAAAGGATCAGTGTATTTATTAATTTATTCTAATTTTTCATCATAATTTTTTATAATGTTTTATATTTCTGATATATTTTCAGTTTAATTAATAATTTAATAGATTCTAAATTAAGTATCAGTTAATAGTTTTAACAACTATTGATTTAAACTTTTATTTGATAATTTATCACTCTCACTTTTTATTATAAGAAAATCATTTTTTATTTAAGCCAATAAGCTTTTGCAATTAACCTAAAAACTCTAATCATCTTTAAAACATTACAAGGAAGAAATTTTCTATTTTTATAGAGTTAAGATTTATGCTGCTCTCTCTTTATATCCCTATTCTAATTTCTAGTCTGTTTTTATTAGATAACTTTAAAATTACTGATTCGTTACCTAAAGATATTAACATTGTATTTTGTAGAATAACTTTAGATATTATAAAATTACTATGTTAAACTAGCAATCAATAAAGTTTGATTATAAATCTTCTAAAGATTCTAATTTAGTATTATATAATTTAAATCTTTTTTAGAATTTTTCATTTTACAGTCTGTTATGTATTTACTTAATACATTCACCATAACAATTATAATCTATAATATTTATGATATTTTCATCTTATAGCATTACTTTTATTTATTACACCTATTTTTCATTGTAGATTGATTTCATAAAATTTTCCTTAAAGATACTTAAATTTAAATTAAATTATTCAAACTAAATTTCAAAATTTAGGAAAATGTTTTGAAAATTATCAAATTAAAAAATTTATTTTAGTTTCTCTAAATCTTTCAATTATTTAGTTTCTAAAAATATGCTAGCTTCATAAATGGAACAAGTGAATTCTATAGCATTCAAGAAGTAATCTAATAATGCACCTAAAAAGTCTTTTAATTATGCTTTAATAAAATTATCAATCTTAGTATAAAGATCTTATAAGTTAGTTTAATAAACTTTATTATTAAATTATTGAATGTAAGGTGTAAGCAAATACAATTTAGTAACTTCAAATTTAGACATTTCGTATGTGTGATTTGTTATTGTTATAATTTTTTGATATTTATTTAAAAATTAAATTATTAATGCTTATTAATCATCCTAAAATATTTATTTTAATGAGGAGTCATTGAAATAATTTACAAAAGACTATAAAATTCCAGAATAAATTGCAATAATTTCATCCTTTTCAGATTTTAGATTGTTGAATAATTTTTTTAATATTTCTTATTCATAGCTTGCTAGTATGGTTTCGTAGTCTTCTTATTTTTTTTCTTTTTAATTTTTAAATGCAAAATCTTTGTAATAATCCCAAAGGTTGATATTTTAAATAAGATCACCTTTCAAAAGAAATTGAGAAAATAATAAAAATTTTTATTTACTTTATTCTTGTAATAAATTAGACAATTCAGAGCTATTTATAAGTTTTTACTCATCTTAAAATATGCTCATGATTGCCTCGTTCTTATTATATGAAACGCATTTAATTAAATTATTTTCAATTAATAGATTCCATTAAATTACTGATTAATTAGGTTATTTTTTAAATAAAACAATCTTATTAATGATAGGACGGTATGCAATTACATCAGTAATCATTTATATTCACATAAAATGAAGAATCCAATTATTAGAATCTGATATATATTACTAAAATATATCCTTCAAAAATTATATTTATTTATAGACTGACTATTTTGACTTTAATTATCTGATAATTGACCATTTAATTAATTGAAATAAATAATATGTTTAATAAGTTTCTTTTGGATATAATTTTTTTTCTATTCCTTTTTTTAAAAGATACTGTCCACCATCTATGATACTTTAAAGTAGATTTTCTGAAGGTGATAATGATATAATTGATTTGGCTGTTTCCTAAAAGAAATTAAGTAATAGGTCTGATCCTTAAGTAGAATTAGATTTTGAATTCATAATCATAATTTTCATCATTGTTATCTCAAATTCAATACCTGTCTTCCAAACATTAGCTTATTCAATTTCTAATTAAGTGTTGAATTCTGCTATGTGTTATAAGTAATCCTATTTAACAGTTTCTTCAAAGAATCTTTTAGGATTGCTTAATTAGAATGCAAAAAGAATCCTTAATAATTCATTACAAGTTTATAAAACTTAATAACAGATAAATCCAGAACTTCTTAAATAAGTTGTAAGGACTGTTAATAAACTTTAAAAATTTTCTTAAATTAATTCATATATTTTGCTAGTTTCTTTTTTGTCTATACAAAAAGAATTCAAGTATTCTCTATTATAAATAAACCATTGAATTTTTATAAGTACTGCATTTCTTTAATTATTATCCCCAATGAATTTAGATTGCTCTACTATTAGCTTTAATGAGTTATTGAGGTCTTCTAAAAAGTTATCAGGTAATGAGATCTCTAAATTTCTTTGTTCATTTTAAATTACTTTATCAATGCTTCTTTCTTACACAGATGTAACACATCCTCCTCCTCTTAATTTAATTAAGCTGTTGAAATGGTATTTATTACATGAACTTTACTTATTTAGGGTTATGATATATGACGAAAAATCTCCATTAATTTTCATCATTAGAAGTATTTTAGGAAGACGCCCTTTTAAACCCTAGTGAAGAATTTAATCCAGCAATTCCTTAAAAAAAGTATGTTACATATAATTATTTAATGAACTCTATGCAAAAAAAAGAGGCGGTTATATATAAATAATTAAAAAGATTTGGCGTGTCTAATAATAAAAAATTTAATTTTAATGGCATTTGTATTAATAAGCTTTATTAAATTAAATTATGATCAATAAATTTAATTTGGGTTTATTAGTTTCTTCATTTTTTATAATCTCGAAATTAATATAATAAAAAATTTATGAGTGATACGAAAATAGATTGACTACATAAAGAATTTACATTCAAGAAAGATCATTTTAAAATTTATAAGAGTTAATTAAGTATTGAAAATTACATTCTTAAATTTAAATTATTTATATATAAGTCAATATCAAAGTGTTAGTTTATAAATCCATGAAAAATCTATAAAAATTTCATATTAATATAAATATTTATATTTCCTAAATTATTAAACAATATTATACAATAATTATTATATTTCCAAGATAGTTTCATATAATTTAGTAATTTTTATTTAAAATCTATCTTTTTCCAATATCTATTTTTAATTATTGACAAATACACCAAAAATAAATTTGACAATTAATAGAATGTCAATATTATGAAGATTTTAAACTTTTTGTAGGGTATATGAAATTAATATGGGTAATTTAGTAATTTTAAACAATCCTTTATTCTGAATATGTTTTTTTTAATTTGAAGAAATTTTAAGACAAAATCTTCCCTTAAGTGAAACTTTATAATTTCTCCTTTTTTAAATATCAAGCGGCTGTTGTTTAATTGAGAATATGATTTCAAGTGAAACTTCAATAAATAGATATATTGAATTATACATTATAGTTCAAAAAGAAAAAAAATAATGTTACATGGATAATTTTTTGAAATTGTTAAGTTTTAAAGTTAATTTGTATTTAGAAGGAAAAAGATGGAATGTATCTTTCTTAATAATGATATCAAGTTAAATTTAATTAATTAATCAGTTCAACAATTTGACTTATGTAGTGATATTGTTTTCAATTCTTCTGGTACAATTATAGTATCCACATAGAGGTTTGGAGTTTTGAGAATGGGAAAAATTAATTTAATTAATAGTTTGAAAAGACACTCTAATTGTGTTAATTGTCCAGTGTATATTTAGAAATAGGAAATATTTCTTTCAGGATCAGGTGATAAAACAAAAAGAATTTGAAATAAACAAGAATAATATGATTGGATAAGTACTTATTATCCATCAAATTCTGGCTAGGTTTAATATTTTTTGTTAAATAAAAATGAAGATCAATTCTTTAGTGGAAATGAGGACAAATCAATAAAAGTTTAGTAAGTTGATTTTGATCAGAAATAATTAATAATTTTTTAATCTATTCAATATATAAAATATGTATAGACTTTAAGTTCAAAATAATAGAATTAAATAATTTTATGGAAAATGCAATCCTAAAATAAAATGGTATGAAATAAATTTTTATCATGGATAAAATTTAAATTTCTAATATCATTTTAATTGAGTAAAATCGAATAGAAATAATCTAAAATCTTATTTTTATAAAATTAAAATAATGTAATTCATAATAAATAATAATCTTTTGAATTACTTATCTAAAATTAATCAATATAGAATTGTAGGCCTAAATTTAAGTTTTTAAAAGAAGATAAATTTTTTAGGTAATTTCTAGAAATACTGAAATTGCAAAAAATGTATGTATTTGAATTAAAAATGGAGTTTTTGAAGAACATTGAACTAATTCCTAATAATTATATATAAGATGACCATCCATTTCAAATCTGGAAAATTGATTGGATTGTGTGTAAAACTAAACTATAGAAACATTAACAAATAATTAATTTCATTTAATCTATTGGACTTTTTAAAACAAAGATATTCAATATATTAAATATTAAAATTTTAATTGTAATGAACTCACTATGGATTTGGTGACCCTCCTCAATTTAGTGTATTTGAATATAAATTGAAAGTAGAAGGCAATAAATGAGTAGATGGAGAATGTAGAAATCCTTGCAAATAAAACATAGTAGAAAATGTAAATCATGAGCGTATTTAAGTATGATGAAGTAACATCTGTCTAATCTGTGCAAATAGACTTTTTGTGTTAATTAGTTTAACATTTTTGAAAATTCCTACTTATATCTAAATTTAATTTGATTCAACATTATTAATTAGCATGGTTAAATAAATTAGAGGCTAAAAAGAACATAAAATATATCGTATAGTTATTAATTAGTCTAATGATTTAAAAGTTATCTTAAGCTCATAAATTGGTAGCTTTATTGATCTCATCAACATTATTTAAGGATTATTAAATAGCCTGAAGATCCTATAACAAGAAAAGCATGATATAGAAAACTCTGAGTTATTTATGATTAATCATTATTTAGATAGATCCTATTGATGTATTATATCCCTCCATTTTTAATAAGTGAAATTTTCTAAAATCTTCATTTTCTCAACACCTATGAATTGAAATTGAGCTTGAAAAATCTATTTTTCTTTAAAAAACTTTGAAAATCGATTTAATTAGATTTTCTTATATAAAAATTTGATTTTTAATCTTATATTTATTTAACATTGTTAATTCTAATTCTATCATCATTAATATCAAAGAGTAAAACAAGATCTTTAAATATTTTTTTCTATAAAAAATAATGTTATCATTTATTTGATATGAATTTATAAAAATATAGTAAAATTATTTTAATAATCATTTTGTAATTATTTAACAACAAATGTATGATTAATTAGTATATGCATCCTATGAAATGATATCTTACTTGTTATATAATTACTTACAATTTATACATTAAATCTAATTAATATACTCAAAAGCATCTTAACAAAGATAAATTACTTATAAATTAATTATCTACTTTTTCAATATCCTTTAACATTTTTTTTTACAATAATAACAACACATATTTGGTTTTACATTTACAGTGTCACAAATTTTTTAACATTCATCACATATTCCTAATATCGTTTGCCTTTTAATTTCCTAATTAATAATTATTTTATAGTTTTTATAGCAGCACTCACAATTTTAACAAACTTGGTTCTCTTGTTCACTTAAACAAAAATCACATTAAAACTAAAGCTTTTTCTCCTTTACTAATTTTATCTTCTCCAAATTTAATTCAAAAAATTCGTCACAAATATTGCATATACCATGAAGATTGTAAAGTGACATTTTTGGACATTAACTCTAGTTAATGTTAGAATGATTAGAAAACTCTACTAATTTTAATTTACGACAAAGATAAGAACAATCTTTGTGTTGAATTTCTTTAAAATTTAAAATTCCTTTATCTTTTAGATTAGTTTCATCTTCATTCAAGATTGAATTCCATTTTTTGTCTGTTTAAATTGAAGGATCAGTAAAAATGTTATTAAATCCTTGTAGATCTGTAATGACTAGAATTTCTTAACTTACTGTAAATGAGAAATGGCTAAATGTGGAATAAAAATATCTTTGAGTATCACAATAGTTAAAGTTTGTTGTATATTTTTCAAATTAAAATTAGTTCTATATGAATGTTTCTCCATATATTTTTTTTAATCCATAAAAAGGTTTTTTAAATTAATATAGAATTGGATGGGCATAAAAAATGGGTTGCATTTCATTAAATAGATCCCCTTTTTATAATTCTTAATTAAAGAAATATGCCATTTAACAAGCATATGTGGAAGAATAAAATCTTATTTCTGCTAATTTTTCAGCTTATTTCACTTCTTAATCATTAATTTCTCCTTCCTTATTATAAACATCTTTTGGAATTTTAAGAATTACTTCTCTGTTATTTATTGCATCAAAAGCCTTAAAGATAATTGTTTTTGATTTAAGTTCTTAATTATTTAATTCATTTATATCTTTTGTAATCTTTAAACCTGTAATTCCTTTACTTTTCATTGAATCAATTATATTTTTGTAATTTTTCCAATACTCTTAATTATGATAATTATCATTAAAATTATCTAATTTTGCTTTTTCAAAATTAACTTAATAATAATCAAATTTAAGTTGCTGTTTGAGTATTTTTGATTCCTGAACAGATTACCGTAAACTAAATGTTACTAATTCTGATAATTCTTCTGGTTTCTTTTTAGTCGTAATAGTAATAAAAGGAAAAACTAATTTCATTTTTTAAAACATAATATCTGTTTAATCTGTGATTTTAACACAACATAAAAAGTTATTCTTCTTTATTTATCTAAATTTTTATAGTATTTTTTCAAAGTAATTTTTTTCTTTTGTATAAGCTTCATTATCTGATTCAATATTATGATAGTCTTATCCATGACAAGGTGCATCAGCTATTAAAAATGTACATAATAAACTGTCACTATGATGTGAAAAGTTCAATTTTAATGCTTATTCAAATCCAGCTGCAATATCTTCTGCTTCATCACCTCCCCCTTTCGTTTCCAATTTGCTTATAAAGTTTTCAATATCTTCAACTTTTTGAGTAAAAGCATAATATACAATCTAATCATTTTCATCACATACATCTCTGTAACCTACAAATGCCACCCTTATTTAATATCCATTAATTGAATTTTTAAATTATTGAATTATTAATGTAATAGTACATTAAACTTCATTTTTCCAAACTTACATAGATCCTGTTAAATCCATTATGAAAAGAATATCAATCACATTTTATTCTAAGAAATGTTTCTTATAATGTATTAATTCTGACTCTTCACAGAGTAATTCTAAATTATTAGAGACTGGAGCCAACTGTTTATTTTAATTTATTTTATCTTAATTCACTGTACAAGGTTATAATGCATTAACTTATTTTATTTTAAGATTTATATCTTCCCAATCAATATGATTTTTAATACATCTTATCTTAGGGCACTCTCCTTTAAAAAAAGGTATACAATATCCATCTAGAAAAAGTGGATTATTTTTATCGTCATCCAATTCTTCTGGTGTATAATCCTTTAGTTATGATTAATTGTTCACTTCTTTTTTGAGATCAACCCATTTTTTGTGAGTACGGTTACATTTTTTACAAGCTGTAAAATAATTAGCTAAGCATATGTTATTCCATCCTCTATGCAAATATCTGCAATCTTTGGACATGCAATTCTGCTTACATAAATTATGAGGAAAAACACCATTTATTGTCGATTTTTATAATTGATCATTTAATTTATCTTCTTTGAAATGGTAAAATTTACACCCTATAATTTAACAATCAGCCAAATTAAATTCCTATTCCTATTCATTATATTTTTATTCCATTCTCAAAAATTTTATGCAAATTCCTACATATTTTCTAGAATGATCTAATTAACAGTTCTCACTTTTACAAAATATTGAATCAATACAAATTTAAAAAAAATCCAATTAATCATTACTCATTTTTAATATTTTTTGTTTAATAAAGCAACTCAAATATAAATTAGCTCTAATTCTATTAAATAATCAATAGAATATATAATAATTTTGCAAAAAAGTAAAAAACAAAAAAAATCAAAAATATATCTTTTTTCGCTTCTTTATTTCTCTTATAATCAAGATTTTACCTTTTTCATTTCGAATTCTATTATTTTTTTTATTTTTTTGAGGGATTTTAAGAAGTGTAATCATCTGTGTTATTACTCTAAATTTAAAAACTTAGATTAGCAGATTCTGAGAAAATTTATCTAACTAGCTTTAACTGTGAATTTTTTTTCAAAAATATATAATTAAAAACATCACAAGATTTCATTCTAAATTTAATAAAAGCAACAATAATTCTAAATTTTATTGTTTTTTAAACAAATTTCTGCCCATTTAGTTCTTAAAATGATGCTTGTAATTGAATTAGCTTTTAAGATTATAGTATGTTAATGTCTGATAGACAAATATATTGGGAAATTTCAAAAAAAAATATGAATTGAGATCAAAATGTAATTGGATATCAATTAAATTAATTTAAGTATTTTTTTTATAAATTTTATCATTATTCTTATCTAACTTAAACCATCTTTTTTTCATAACTGCATCACTTCAATTTTATAAAATTTTATTATAGTTGTTAATTAATTTAAGTACAAGATATTTTGATAGAAACTATTATCTTAAGAGTTTATGATAGATCCTCTATAAGAAAGATAGAACCAGATGATAGTTTTCATAATAAGAAGAGAAAATAAAAGAATAATATTTTAGATAGGACTTTTAATATTTGGTATATTTAGCTTGCATTTAAGTCTTGCTTTAAATACAAAAAAATTGTTTTTTTCTAATCAATTATAATTAATCATAATTATTACGATTTAAATGAATTTATCAGAATTTATTATTTGAAAAAAAGGGACATAAAAACAGAGCTTGGAAATTATCAATGAAATATTTTAAATAATTATGCTAAAACTCTCAATTTATTGAATTGTTTTGCTAAGTGCAAAAGATATGGTAATTTTGTAAAAGATCTCGAATTAATGATTATTCTAATTATGAGTAATTCTGATGATTCAAATGAATTCTATCTCTTTAGATGTTCTTGAAAATTGAGATAATAATAATAAATCTAATAGGCTTTATTTTAAAGCTATAAAATGAATGTACAAAAAGGGCTTATAATTAGAGAGTTATTAAATTAATCTAAAAAGAATTAGTAATAATTAAGATTTTATTGTAATTAAAGCAAAAAATATTTTTGTTTGTGTTTCTTGGAAACATCGAGACAACAATATAATAATTTATTCTCTGTATTTATTTTTTTTTATAAAATTGAAATTTAGTACTTGTTAAAACTAAAAAGTGTAAATTAAATTCAACTTGTATTCAATTTTTAAAAAATAAACAAATCATAAAAATATATTTTTGAGGAAATCAGTGTTAGAAATTAAAAATTCCTATTTCATATTAAATTGATTCCTCTATCTTAATTTGCTATTTATATTGGAAAAAATGGATTAATGTTTCGATTTTTAATTATGTCCATCTCTATTCTTCTTGAAATAATTAGCAAAGTAACAATCAATACGACTATTATTTTCAAAACATAAATTAATAATCTTTAGCTTTGTTATTTATTTATTAACTTACTTAGAATAAATTAATATTAAGATATACTTCTAATTTAGGATATATTCTCTTTATCAGGCTTCTTATTTATTATAGTTCCAAATATTTATTTTAGTTAAAAATTTTTAAAAATCAATAAAAATTCGAAATTTTAATTATTTTCATATTTTAAGAATAAATTAATATTTAAATAAAATTTTTATAAGAAAGATTTGTAATTTTTACTTTTGAAAGTTGAATAAAAAATAAATTAATACAAAATGAATTAATGGTTTTGAAATTTGCTTAATTATATTTTATCTCATGGTAATAATTTTTAATATAAACAATAACTTATTATTTAAATTAAAAATTCAAACTGTCTAATGGATTTGACAAGAAAAACAAACTCTAGCAATTGGGACTCTTTATAATGTCCCTTCTACAATTTGTTAATTATTTTATTTTTAAGATGAATCATCATCCTACTTTTTAGGAATACTTCTATTTGCTATTAATTTTTTGATGTTCTCTTTTATAATTACAAATGCATTATAAAGCTCAAAAAACATAAATAATATCAAGACACTTACCAATAAACATATTTGAATCCAACTAATAATGACTCTCTAATTATATTAAATGTAATGAGATAACAAATTCCAATTTAAAAAAGTTGATGCAGTAAAAAGAGTTAAGGATGTCTCCATAATTAAACTTTTTAGGTATTCTTATTACTCATCAAATGGTTTAAAATTTATTACATAAATTAAATATAATAAGTTAATCAAGGTTAAAATTAAAGTTTACAATACTTGTTCATATTAAAAAAAGACTAAAATCAAGAGAATAAGTAATTTCTTTATTATAATGAAAAAAATTTTTTTTTCCCTCCAAAATTAATGAAAACTTTATTTTTTCCAATTCAATTTTCCAGTTACTTGAGATAAAATAAAAATTAAAGTTGTAATTATGATTATTAAAGCTAAAGATAGACGAACAAAAGTTCGATAAACTGTTAAATCATGATAAGTGTTTATCTCCAAGAAAGCCATGAAAATTAGATCCCAACTACATGCTAATAAGGCACTTTTAAAGAAAGAACCATTCGTTCTTATAAATTTAAAATAAATTTTTCTCTTATGTTTTTGTAAAAAACGAATGAACTTTGGAAATTTCAAAAATTTATCATTTACTTCAAGATTATTAATGATTTAAATAGTAATTAAAATAATCAAGTAAACAAATGAAAAAGTGGCAAAAAGAAAAATTTCAATTCTCAGTCCTTCAGTAATATCAGCATTAATTTCATAAAATCGAAACTTTTCATATGATTCTAAATAAGGAAATTCTAGAACTTTAGCCATTCTATTTAATTTAGTAAGATTATTTAGTAAGAATTGAATTGATATCAATTCACTAGATTCAAAATATATGATTAAAGTCTATGGATATAAAACATTAATAAATTTTAGATATGATTATTATTGTAAGGCATCTAAGATACCCCAAAAAGATAATGAATTACCTAAAATAATAAGAAGAATCGAAGATCCATAAATAGAGAAAACTGAAACTTTACTGATTATTTAAAAAGCATGAGCAAAGTTACTTTATTACTCAGTTATATAATTAGGATAATTTAATTGTATATAATCTATCATATTTCGTAATGGAGCATCATCTATACTATATAATTATTCTGTTAAATTGACTTTTAAAATTGGTTAATAATTTAAATTTGTATGAATTTGAATTTATAGAATGTATTATACATCTGATACAATTAAAAATTAAGCAGGTTTTACATCCTTAATAATAATATTAAAAATGGTTTCATTTAAATTTAAAATTTCAAGTAATAAAGTGTCTCTATAAGTTATATGAGAGTATGATTGAACAGGTTGAGTAAAAGTGATTTGAACATATTAATATTAATTTTTTTACGTTAAATAATCTGTTTTTAATATAGGGTACTTGACAAATGTGCAATCAGTTCCTTATTTACAAATCCAATCAGATTCAATTTCACATAATTTAGAACATCCATCTCCATCCTATTGATTTCCGTCATCACATTGTTCTTCTGAGTATAGAATACCATCTCCACAAATATTCATACAATTATTATTAATGAGAAGAAATCCTAAATTACAAATAAGACAAATTCCATTTAAACAATCAGAACAATTTTATGAACATGAATATTAACATTAGTAACATCCATCATATTTGTTAGTGTTACCATCTTCACATTATTCATTTCCAGCTAAAATAGAATCTCCACAAATTGTAGAGCAAGTATTATTTATAAAGTAAAATCCATATTAACATAAATCTTAACAAATTCCTAATTTACAATCTTAACATCCAATATAACAAGAATATTTACAATTAAAACAACCATCAAATTCAATATTATTACCATCATCACATTCTTCATTTTCTTAAATAATAAGATCTCCACATGTAACAGGAATTTCGACACAATTATTATTTATTAACATGTAATTTTTATTACATTTATAACAAACACCAATAAAACATTCTAAACAATAAAAATCACAAGAACATTCTTCAAGTGTATAAATAGCAATATTATTATTACCACAAATTTCTTGACATTAACCTAATATCAATATTTATCCAGATTAACATTTATAGCATGTATTTTCAATACAAATATTGCACTAGGGTTAACATCTATTTTTTATTTAAGTCTAAACACAATAATTGTTTTATAATAAATAATCATTCTAACATACTAAACAAATACCAAATTAACATTACAAACAATTACTGCTACATTGAAATTTACATTAATGACAAAATTATGATTAAACATCACATTCCTCAGTATTAGTGATGAAATTATCACCACAAATTGATTCACACTAATTTGAAATCTAATTTAAATAAAAACCTTTTTGACATTAAATTACACTTTAATAATATAGTTCACTTCCAATAGTTTATGAACTGATAAATTTTTATTATTAATCTAAATCAGTAATTTTTGAGCAAATAAATAAATGATTCTAAAAAATCCATCCAGAAAAACAATTAAGACATATTCCTTTATGACACAGAGAACATCCTTCAATACATGAGTATTTACAATTGAAACAACCATCAAACGGAAATAAATTTCCATCATCACAATCTTCTGTAAATTGAATTATTTAGTCTCCACATAATATTTATTCTAAATTAAAGCTATTTATACCTATAAAAATTTGAATATCTCTTATTCCAAAAGATTCATCTGATAAACTTTCATCTAAAGTATTCAAAATTTGAATTAATGCATTTGTTGATGAATGCAAGAATGTAATTTCTACATTAACATATACTTCTGGAGAATTACTTCCACAAAGACTATATAAATATTAATTTTGTTATGATAATTGAGCAATCCATTTTATTTCACCATCAACTTTTAATAATGCTTAATCATTGATTTCCCAACTATCAATTTTTAAGTACTTAAATTTAATTTTCATCTTAGTATGAAATGGTAATGAATAAAAATTCTTAAAAATTATAGTATCTAAACCACAAATATTATCCCCACAAATAACTGGAATAGCTAAATTTCATATAAACTTTTTACATTTGCATTTTTTTTTTTTTTTATCTTATTAATTTTCAATATTCCATCCTTCTACTTCAAATAGATTAGGATCAATTTCTGTATAAAATGACTAAAAAAGCACCCATATTATACAATTAGACTATTAATCATCTTCAGAACAAATTAAACAACCAGATGGACATTAGTAAATGAAAAGTCTGAAATTCCTAAAACCCCATGATTCCTTTTTTTAAAAAATAATATACATCCCATGGATTAGAATCTAAAGTGCTTGATAAGTATAGGTTTGTTGACAATCCATTATGATTTATTTCAAATTTAATTTCGTGGATTTAATCATTAAAATAATCAATTCCACAAAAATTAGATTATCCTTATTCTGTGAAATATTCAACATTATAAACAAGATCTTAGTCAATATAAACCTAAAAATATTCATTATTGTTCCATGAATCAATTCTATTGTACATTAAATAATTTACATATACAAAGTCAACTCAATTTTAACTCTATAATGAGGAGGTAATTATAGGAACTTCATAGCTGCTTGTTTATAACCAAATTTTGTATAACCTCCTATTATATTTTTCTCTTTGCATGTTGAAATCACAGTTGAAGGGTCTATGTCTATAAAATACCAATCTATGATTATTTTATTATTACCATCGAAACCATTTAAATTATCTTCAGTAAATGCTGAATAATATAGGCTCTATTAATTACTAGTCTCTAGATATATTGTAATCCAAAAAATAAATATAAACTAAAGCATTTTAAAGCTTTATTAATTAATTAAATTGATTTAATCTTTTATAATTTATCAATTAGCTTCGTTGTAAGAATTTTCCTATAAGATTGCATTTCTATTTTTAGATAATTATGTTTTTAGGATGAAATCTGAGTGTTTCATTCGTTAAATAAATTAATACATAAATCAAATCTTATAATGTAAATCAACATAATATTCAAGGAAATATAATTTTAATATCAATCACAATTAAAACAATAAGCACTAGTAATTTTATTTTTTTATCTTTAAAAAATAACATCTTGGTTAATTTTATAATAAAATATTTAAGATTAAGGATAATAATTTAAAAGAATAATTCTATTATTTACTTTATAGATTTTGAAAATTTAACTTAAGTTTTTCTCTATTTCAAAATAAAATAAGATATCAGTTAAAATTTAATCAAGGAAATTGATAACAAGAAATATGGACACTAATTTTGCAACTTAATATACAAGAAATATAAATAAAAGATTCACATTTATACTTTCGCACAGATTAGTTTATTAATTTGCTTTTACAAATAATATAACTTTTTTAGAGAAATTATTCGTTAAGGTTATAAGATTCTTTAATAGTTTATAAATTAAATTAAAATTAGTTATTTCTTGCTTTCAACAAAAATTTACTATTTTAACAATATATTACATTTATAAATAAATAAACCTTAAAATTATTCTTTAAAATTTCAAAATATATCTTCAGGTAATTATTATTAATATAAATTTTAATAAGATTTTTCATATTGAAACAAATTCTCTTAGGATAAGTATACTAATTTCACTACTGAATATATTCAAATAAATTAAATTTTCTTGCTATTGTTTTTTCGATTAATTAATTTTATATTATATGTGGAATAATATCTTACCATTAATTTATTGATAATTATTCTGTAAATCTAAAGAAAACGATTTTTCAATTTTTGAGAAAGTCATTATTTCGAAACAAAAATGTCTTTAAAGTATCAAAATTTGAGTAATTGAATTATGATTAATTATTGCTAATGATAAAATTTCTGAAATATTTAAATTGTAAATTGTATTTTAATAAAATAAATTTAACTAAAATAATCGAAATAAAGCTTATAAAAAATTTTAAAAATTGGATTTAATTTTCATAATAATAAATAAAATCATAAAAGATTTGTTTTTTTTATATATTATAAATCATATTTTATAGAATGCTAAATGTATTCAGTTTTTAAAATAAAATAATCTTAACTTTAAAGCTTTTAATTTCACATTATAAAAAAAAGTATACTTATTCATATTTGATATATGTTTTTATATTTTTCTTTAATATTTAGAATTGGCTTTTTCTAAATTTTATAGAACAAATTAGACATTGCCTTGAGGAAAGTAATTCTAAAATGACTCACATTGATCACATTAAATTGATGGATGAAGAAATTTTGCACTATTAAATAAAACATCTAACATATTTAATTCTTTTTTAGCATTTTTCTAAGGCTTTTGAGATTTTCCAGAATTTAATACATCTTATTCTTAATTTAAAGATTATTCTCTCCTAAAAATTGCTCTACTAACAAAGCTCTTACCCATAGGTAAATGAAGTCTCTCTGGATTTTCATCATTTAAAAGGATTTTTTATGTTTTATTAATATCGATGTTATGTTCAGAAGAATTATTACTTAATGAACTGTGAACAGCTAAAGCTAGTTATAATGAATTTGACATTTAGAAACCAAAATTATCTTCTAAAAATTTAGTAACCGATTGAGAAAGTTATCGTTACTCTTTTATACTTTTAATTTTGTTTCCCAATCTAGTTTTTGCAGATCTTAAAAAGACAACAGATTATTATGTTTTTTTTAGTAATCTTTATTCTAAATCAGGATAATAATTAAGAACTGGGCAATCTATCTCTTAATGACTATATCGATCACAAAATTAACAACATAAATTAAATAGCCTATAATTTTAATTGAAAATTATTTAATCCTTTATGTGATGAAAAGTCTCAAAATCTTTTCTGTTAAATTATAAAATCTCTAAAAATCTTTTCCTACTAATAGTATAAACTTTAGAAAAACCATTACTTAGAGCTGAAGTTTTTGGTGGAAAGTCAGTGAAGAACTAATAAATACCAAATGTTTAATTCTATTTTAAGTTATTAAATTTCATCTTGCTTTTTTCTTCTATAATTTCAATTTCTCCTTCTTTAATAAAATAAAGATTTTTCTCCATGATATCTCCTTTTTTGTAAATAAAATCACCTGGAGAATATTTAATAAGAGATAAATTTTTAGATAATAATTATTAAGTTCTCTAAGAAAAATGACTTATGACTGATTTTACTTAATTAATAACTTTAATTTAAATATCATCATTTAAATCCTACTATAAATTTTAAGGTAGAATAGATATAAGATTATCAACATCATCTTAATTTTCATTTTACTCTTAATTTATGTAATACTTTAAGTAATTTCTTATTCTACTTTAAATTTTTGGTTCTACTTAATTTTTACTCATAAATGTATTCATTTTAAATATAGATCTTTTATATTTTAATTTTGAATCTTAAAGATTTTTTAAAATTATTCCTATCTAATTCATTGAGTAAGCAAATACACCACTTGATAAAAACATAATAATATCCACATAAATTAATTCTAATTAACTTTAAGCTGTAATATCACCATATCCAATTGTTGTCATTGTCATAGTTGCCCAATAAAAAGCATAATTATATTATATCCATATAGGTTCATTTAATAATTCGTATTTCATCAACCAAGATGTCTCCATAGATTTTATTCCAACATAATGCCAAAAACAAGCAACAATATGTGCTAATAAATATATTGATAGAATTAGGCTTAATAAATCCATTAAACTATTTGATATCCCTTTAAAGAATACAAATTCAAAATAATCTGACAAATATTTCTAAATTTTCTTATAAGTAATAATCAACTAAGCAAAAGTTATGCATTCTCCAAATAGTTAATATGAAATTAGATTTTATTAAATTAATGTCCATAAAATTAAGTTAAGAATATCAATTGTAAAGTTTGTTTATATATACTTTTAAAATAATACCTTTCTTTTTGATATCAAAATTCCTTATATAATAATCCCTTTATTTAAAGCCATAAGGATATCACTAATTAAAAAAATTATTATTGAAACCTATAATAGAGAAAGTTAGATCTCATTCTGAAATTATTCAAAAGACAATAAAAATGGAGTAAGCCATAAAATAATAAAATTAAATATAATTCCAATAGCATTCCAAAGTAATACAAATCCACAAGTTGGTTATATTACAGGTATTCGAGATTAAGTATATGTATCTATAAACTATATTTTTAATTATTTACCTAAAATTGGTTATTTATTATTTTCTTCAATATATTTATCATGAATCAGTTGTTTCTTTTTTTATTTTAATATGTAGGAGTTTGTAAACAAATTATTTATAAATTATTATTTAATTTTCTCAGCTTTAATCACTTTTGCAATATTTGACTGAATCAATTTGTTTTTCAATTTTATTGTTTAAAAGGTGTTATTATATGTATTATTTTCTTCTGATATCTTAGAAAAATTATTAGACTATTATTAAAGAATCATTCGAGGCTAAATAGATATACTACGAGAGGTTTATTTTCCTCTATCAAAATCAACAATTTATTTACAACCATCATCTGATATCTCAGACAACCTTGATGCTGATTCGCTTTTACTACTAATTTGTTTAGTGAATTTCCTAGGACTTGATTTAAATTCAATATTAACTTATTACATATATTAAAAATAATAATGTTATCATTTGCTTTGAAATTTTAAAGACTGTAAATATATTAAGGTCGTTATCTTAATATAAAAATTTCTTTTTAGAATAAGTGTTTATAGTTTTAAAAAAAAAATAAATTTTCAAAAGTAAGTGAATTTCAATTTTTTAAATTTAGATGTTGAAACACTTAAGAATATTTGTAAATTAATTTTAGATTTCAGAAATTTGTATGTGTTGTGAAATATTTCAAAGCTCAATCCATTATAAATTAATAAAGAAAAGATTTTAATTACTGCAAAATTAACTAATGAGAATAATTTTATAAGAAAAAACTTACTTTTAGGATATTATAAGTAAAAATCTCAATAAAGCATACTTAAATGATCTATTATTAACTAAAATTTTAATATAACATTTTAAAATAGAAGAGATATCAATTTAATCTTGATTAATGAGCATCAAATACAAAAATAACAAAACTAAATTTTTACATAAATTATTAAAAGTATTTTAATAATTGATGAATCATTATTTTAATAAAAAAAAACAATCTCTGCAAATTTAAATAAACCAAAAATAAGGAAAAATAATCAACAAAAATATATCTCATCATATTCGATGCTATGATTGTATTCTACTTATTAACAATCAATTATTTAATTAATTTTAATTGTAAATAGTAAAATAAATAATAATATATAATCATTTCATATTTAGATTATTATAAAAAAAACAATCTAAGTAGCCTAAAGATTGGTAATGTGAAATTGTAAAAATAGCATTGAATTATTAATAAGACTTTGGTGGCTTTCACTTAAATATTTCTTTATAAGGTCTTTAAAAATAATGTAATATTAAGAAAACCCTTTTTTAAAATTTATTTAATTTTTAAAGAGCTCTATAAATTAATTTGAATAAAAAAATATTTTCCATAAGTCATTCAACAAATTTCATAAAAAAAATATATTTATAAGTTCGAGTCTAATAAAGACAAGAGTTAATTAGATTTAATAATCATATGTTTTTTATGTTAATGATGTTTACATATATAAATAGAAGGAGTTGCTTTGTTTAAGTGTATTCTTTTGATGCTGTAGATGAGGATTTGGATGGTATTACAAGTTTCTTAAAAATTGATAGATTGGGATGTCTAAAATGGACAGAATGCAATGTTTAGGAATTGTGGTTCTTAAAAGATTTTTGGTGGACCTAAGAGTTTTGGGATGAGTACTTCGATTACAAGATTCTTTAATAATATTGATCCTCACAGCAGTTTAAAAATAGAGATGGAATTTTGGAGGTACATCTTAAATTTGTTATATTAAAGAATTGATAAATGGACTTCAGATTCAATAAATATAGAAGTTGATAATAATTTGTAATTCTAAAAAGATTACATATAATCTGGAATATTTCCTGATTATTGTGGAACAGGCAGCTTATAAGATGATGATGATGATACGTCTGTTTATGATGATGAACATGAAATAATATCATTTACAATTCCACATAGTAAAAGAAGTGCCTGGGTACATATATATACAAATTATAATAATGACGAGAAGGTAAATTAGTAATTAATAAAAGTAATCATGGGGTTTAAGAATATTTAAGTTGAGCATAAAGAAATGTTAAAATGGATGTCTTGCATGTTCTATTGATGATTATCCTGAATGTTTAAAATGGGAAAGATATATATAATCATTTTCTAATTTTTATTTAAGTGGTCTTGATTAATGGAATGGGTTAGGTTCTCCTTTAACTTTGTGGCAGTCAAATTAATGTTCAAATTGTCATTATTATTATGGATTGAAGTTTAGGAGATACTTATATCTGACAAAACAAAATTAATTGCTTTTAAGACTTTTTAAATTTGATTCAAATGATTTTAAAATTTTATTAGATAATAAATAATACACTATAATTTACAACAAAAAAGGACATATCGAGATTTTAATTGATGATTGGAAAAGTGATATATTAGATATAAGATTTGTATCTTTAAATTAAGAGTTATATCTGAGAGATATTGATATATACATTGCAAATTCTAATGATAATGATATAATTGGATTTCAATAAGGCTGTGAGTAATTTATAAATAATTTATGTAATATTTGTAATGAAGGTTGGATTTATAATGAAATAAATAATAGTTGTTAAGGTTAATGTGGTGATTAAGTAATTGAAGGTGATGAAGAATGTGATGATGGTAATAATTAATCTAATGATGGGTGTTTTTAGTGTAAATTTTAATGTGATTAAAATTGCAACATTTGTTTATTTGGTGTATGTTAAAATTGTTTAAGTAATTATGAATTAGATGATAATAAATTTTGTTAATCTATTTGTGGAGATGGTGTTTTAATTCCTTACACAAACGAATAATGTGATGATGGTAATGATATAGAAAATGATGGTTGTTATAATTGTATTTTTGAGTGTAATAAAACTTGTAATATTTGTTTTGTGAATATATGTTTAGAATGTTAAAAAGGATATCATTTAATTGATAATGAATGTTAACCATTTTGTGGAGATTCAATTGTTATTATTGGTTCAGAAGATTGTGATGATGGTAATTAAATACCATTTGATGGTTGTTATAATTGCAAATTCTAATGTTATGAAGATTGTCTTAAATGTTTAGATGGATTATGTATTGATGATTATTGTAACAAAGGATATGAACTTATCTCTGAACAATGTATTTCTATATGTGGTGATTAATTAATTACCATAGATGAAGAATGTGATGATAATAATGATATTCAGTACGATGGATGTTATTAATGTTTATATTCCTGTCCTTTAAATTGTTTTAATTGTTTATAAGGATTATGTGTAAAATGTGAATACTAATATCAACTCACCTAAAATGGTTTATGTTAAATTACATCTCAACTTTAAGATATTATTCAATGTTATGATGGTAATGATTTGCCTAATGATGGATGTTATAATTCTAAAATTGAAACTAATTGGGTTTGTTCAGAATATATTCAAGATATCCTATCTTAATGTTCTTTTTCTTTGATTCCTTAAATAATACTCACCTTCCTAAATATTACTTCCAATATTTAATATGTTAAAATTTCATTTAATGAACAAGTTATAGTTTCCTCATCAACACCACTTTCTTAAACTATTGAAATTATAGTTTTAAATATTACCAATGACAAATAAAAATTAAACTTATCCATTATTTAGGATGTGAATCAAGATTTTTCCAACCCAGAATTTATCATTACTATTGAAATCTATTAATTACTTTAATCTAAACCAATCCTATAAATTCTCTTAAATTAATAAATAGTTAACAGATAAGGCTCTTTTATTCCTCGTAATGATCATTATATTTCTTTGAATATTCCAAACTATTTAAATGAACTTCAAACTACCTATTCTTATAAATTGCAACAAGTCAATAAATCCATTATCTATACCATTCTTGCAATTGGAGCAGTATGTTTACTCTTTGGATTTTCCAATTTATTTCTTTAAATACTTAATATTTTACAGTATTAATAATATCTAAGATACCTTAACTTATAATTTCCTCAAAATCTTTCGATATATTTTGAGTTAGGCGATCTACTATCAAGTTAAACTCTTATGGATTACTTTCATATTGGTGATTTTTTTAGTTTTTTTTCCATAAATTCTCGCTTTTAACCTTCTTATGAAAAATTTGAGGATTATGAACTTAATGCTGATTTAATTCAAAATATTCAGTGGTAGGTACTTTAATTTTGTATTTGCCTACTTATTTTATCTATCATTAGTTTTTTAAAAAGAATATTTTATTATCACATTTTCACAAGTTCTTTTTGCGATTCAATATTAACTCTATTAAAGTGTATAAAAAAATAATTTATCATAAAATTTGCATCAGGAATTTATAAATTAGCAAAATAGTTTATAAGTATCGAATAAGTTGCAACTTATAATGGTGTAAAACAATTATTATTAATTAATGGATGGGATTTACTCTTTAAAGTTTTTTTATATCTTCAATCAATTAATTCTATCTTTTTAAGGGATGTTATATCAATCTTTATAGGTTCCTGTATTCTTCTTGCTTATTTAATCATAATTATTTCAGCATGTAATCGATAAACTAGATTAAAAAAAATTAGAAAAAAATTATTATTAGTTGGAAGATTTGAAATATTCAACTTACTCAGATAATTTTGCTTTTTAATTATCTTAGTATTCTTATAAGAGTAACAGATTTTATAAATAATGCTTATTACTCTCATATGTGTTTTATGCCTCAAAATTGTTTACATTTATCGCAATGCATTTTAAATATCAAACTTTTTGGTTCAATTCATTGTTGAAGGATCAATATTAGTATTTACATTCACTTCACTTATTTATGTTAACGATTTTTCAAAGTACATCAATTAAGAACTTAAAATTAAATTTGGATGGTTTCACATCAGTATTCTCTCATTCGCTCTTATAGTACAATTAATTATGATCATTTATTAAAGGATTCAATCCTTATATTCTAAATACAAACATGAAAAAGAAAAACGTAATTAAGCTCGAAATAATTCTCATTTGCTTTTAATTGAAATTAAAAACCGTATTATAATTCATTATGCATGAGTTATTAAATAATAATATATAATAATTTATAATTTTTAATAACGATTTTTTTATTCATAATCTATAAAGTTATTAATAATATATCATATGTAAATGATACAAACACATTTTTCTTATATATTTTCAATTTTCCAATCTATATTTTCTTCTACTCTTTATATTGAGTTCGTATTTTTAAGAAAATTTTATCCTAAAATCATTTTCAACAAATTTATTTTCAAAATATTTAAATATTAATACGATTGAAAATTCTAGATATAAGTATCCATCATTTTTACCGACTTCTCCTACCCCTAAATTTATAAAATTTAATAGACTTAAAAGTATTAAATTATAATTAATGATTCATTAAATTTGAAATATTCATTAAAATTATAAGGTTCTCTACCACATTCTATTTATTAATTGTAGCATTTTTATAGCAATTATTTAATCACAAAACAGTCTAAGCTAAAATATTAACTCCTTCTTATTAATATGATTCGAAGAATCTAAAATTTAAATTAAATGAAAAACATGAACTATCAGAATTTAATTTTAAATGTTTTATTTTTATGGAAGTATGTTTTTAAGACAATTTTCTTTTTTAAATTAATCCTATTTTCATATTTTCTTTAATAAACCTTTTAAAAATAGTTAAAAAATTTTTTTATAATTAAAAATATTAATTACATTTTTATAATTTAATTTTGTAAAGGGTGGTANTGCATTTTAAATATCAAACTTTTTGGTTCAATTCATTGTTGAAGGATCAATATTAGTATTTACATTCACTTCACTTATTTATGTTAACGATTTTTCAAAGTACATCAATTAAGAACTTAAAATTAAATTTGGATGGTTTCACATCAGTATTCTCTCATTCGCTCTTATAGTACAATTAATTATGATCATTTATTAAAGGATTCAATCCTTATATTCTAAATACAAACATGAAAAAGAAAAACGTAATTAAGCTCGAAATAATTCTCATTTGCTTTTAATTGAAATTAAAAACCGTATTATAATTCATTATGCATGAGTTATTAAATAATAATATATAATAATTTATAATTTTTAATAACGATTTTTTTATTCATAATCTATAAAGTTATTAATAATATATCATATGTAAATGATACAAACACATTTTTCTTATATATTTTCAATTTTCCAATCTATATTTTCTTCTACTCTTTATATTGAGTTCGTATTTTTAAGAAAATTTTATCCTAAAATCATTTTCAACAAATTTATTTTCAAAATATTTAAATATTAATACGATTGAAAATTCTAGATATAAGTATCCATCATTTTTACCGACTTCTCCTACCCCTAAATTTATAAAATTTAATAGACTTAAAAGTATTAAATTATAATTAATGATTCATTAAATTTGAAATATTCATTAAAATTATAAGGTTCTCTACCACATTCTATTTATTAATTGTAGCATTTTTATAGCAATTATTTAATCACAAAACAGTCTAAGCTAAAATATTAACTCCTTCTTATTAATATGATTCGAAGAATCTAAAATTTAAATTAAATGAAAAACATGAACTATCAGAATTTAATTTTAAATGTTTTATTTTTATGGAAGTATGTTTTTAAGACAATTTTCTTTTTTAAATTAATCCTATTTTCATATTTTCTTTAATAAACCTTTTAAAAATAGTTAAAAAATTTTTTTATAATTAAAAATATTAATTACATTTTTATAATTTAATTTTGTAAAGGGTGGTACTAACAATTATAAAATATATCTAATTTTTGGAATACAATTAAATTATTGCTAGAAATGTAAAGCAAGGATATAATATAGATTAATATGTGATAATAAAAAGTTAAATATTTCATGATAATAAAAATGAATACTAATAACTAAGTAATTTTATATAAAATGTAAATTTTTTGTTTATGGAAATAAATTAATAAGGAATAAATATAATATAAAATGATTAATTTACACAATGATTCTAAATAAAGTCTGTAATAGCAAGACTAAGAAGTGTATGAATTGATTGAGAAAGAAAAGAACCTATAAAAAAATAGTTTAAATTTGATTCCAAGTGAAAATTATACATCTAGAGCAGTAGCTGAAGCATTATCATGTGTTTTTAGTTCTAGATATGCTCCAGGTATGATAAGAAAATAATTTTTAAAAAAGGTCCTCAAGGAAGTAAATATGCACCTTAAGTTGAAAATTATGATGAAATGGAGAAAGTTTGTTAAGATAGGGCATTAGCAGCATTTTAATTAGATCCATAATAATGGGGTGTTAATGTATAGATGGGAAGTGGATCAACAGCTAATTTAGCAATATTCTTAGGTGTACTTGAACCAAAGGATAGAATAATGAGTATGGAATTTTAATAAGGTGGACATTTTTCACATGGTTATTAGATAGGAGATAAGAAATTATCTGCTATTAGTAAAATATTTGAAGTTCTATTTTACTAACTTAATGAAGTAAAATAAGAATTTATAAAAATATAGAAAACTTAAGAAATAGATTATGATAAGATTGAATTACTAGCTAAATCATTCAAACCAAAATTAATAGTTGCAGGTTGTTCAGCTTATAGTAGATTAATTAATTTTTAAAGATTTAGAAACATTTGTGATTAAGTAGGTGCTATTTTATTAGCTGATATTGCTCATACAAGTGGTTTAATGTCAGCTGGAGTTATTCCTTCTCCATTCCCTTATGCAGATATTGTTATGACTACTACTCATAAATCGTATTTATTTATTTCTTAATTAGTTTACGAGGACCAAGAGGTAGTTTAATATTTTATAAATTATAATATAGAAATAGAATAGATGAATCAGTTGCGCCAGGATTAGTTGCAGGAGCACATTTTCATACTATTACTGCTATTGCTGTAGCATTAAAAGAAGCTTAAACTCCATCATTTAAATAACTTTAATAAGATGTTATTGATAATAATAAACATTTTGCAGCAGAATTATAAAAATTAGGATTTGGTTTAATTGCAGGTGGCACTGAAAATCATTTAATTTTATTAGACTTAAGAAACTTTAATGTTGATGCTGTTAAATTAGAATATATATTAAGTTTAATCAATATTTAATGCAATAAAAACTTTGTTCCTTTTGATACTGTTCCTATATAAAGAGCATTGAGGATTGGGTATTTTATATTTTTATTAAAGCTCTATACCATTATCAGTTAGAAAAGCCACTAAAGAACATTTCACTAGAGTTGCTTAAATCATTAAATAATCTGTTGAATTAATCTAAAATGTTACTATTGATATTAAATAATGGGTAACTGAAAATGAAGATAAAATAATACCATTAAAAAAACAAGTTGTTTAATTAGCTAATGAATTGCCAATACCTTGGATGTGAAATGTTTTATTTAAATATATAAAAAGTACATAAAATTATAATTAGTCGCTTTTTTTTTATTATATTTTCTATAAACAATAAATTTTATTACTCTTTGCCTTCCTTATAAATTTTATTTAATAACGCTTCTTTATTGCTAAGAATTTTATTAATTAATTTATAAATATGAATTAAATCTATTTATACAGTAATTTAAAAATTTTTATTTAAGTTCTCTAGGATTGCTTTCTATACGATCATAATCTTATACTTCTTATTCATAAAATTACAGTAGACAGAATGCAAGAATATTAATGAATTATTATTTATTTATTTTAATATTTATTAAATAGATTCATTTTATAGATATTCAATTTTAAATTGATTTTATTTATCTCTGGGAATACCAAGAATACAAGGATAGCCGAATTTAAGAGAATAACTAATTGTAAATCTTAAATAAAAGATTTTAAATTTTTTTTTAATAACACCAAGATTACAAGATTGAAAAAAAACTTTCAGAATTTTCAAATTAAAATACCATATATATCAATTCATTATTAAAAATAAGCAGTTAATATCATAGTAGTCAATATAGTTTTTAGAATGTACATACGAATTTCAAAATATTCTCATTTTATTAGATTAAAAAATGATTAAGTGTGCAATATTATGACATCAAAATTTAGATTGTGCTTACATCAAAGAGAAGAAGTTTTGGTAATTCGTAAAAAGATTATAAAACGCATATTCTATTGATACAAGACTCAAAAAGGGATCTTTGATTAAACTACCTTTTATTTGAACAAGCCCAATTAGATGCTAAAATTGAATAAGTACATTCAAATTTAGTAGATCGTTTTAAATTAAACATTAAGTTCATTTCTATCATGGCATCATCAGTTTTTAAAAAGTTTAATTAAAAATTTGGAAGATAGTTTTCTATGTAATGTACAAATTTACAACAACAAAGAATAATTGATATTAAAATCTGAGTATTACATTTAAATTCAGATTAACAAAATATGTTTATTTTATTTCTTAATATAGTCTATAATTAAGTGATTAAATCTTAATGACTTTTTTGTGAATTTAAATCAAAAATTGATCTTTGAGTCAAATAAGATAAGTTAAATAGAGTCATTTAAATGTATGCATACTTTTAAAGCTTTTTATCTAGAAAATCTATTTATTTCTTTGATGAATGAGACTTATTTATGTTTGATTAAAAAGCAGCTAAAGTTGCACAATAAAATTAATCTTTAATTAATTATGAGACATTTTGTGATAATTCTTATAAAAAGATAATGAGCATATCATATCCTTTTTGATCTGGAATTTGTATCTTATCTAAAATAAGTAAGCATTAAACTTCATTATTTAAAATACATTTAGTTAATTTAACCTTATAAACAATTCTATTAATTTGATCAATAAAGTGTTTCTATTTCTCTTTTTTATCCAGGAAATTATTTTTTTTTTCAATTAACATACTTCTAACATACTATTCTAAATTATTTGCTTGATCGATAGATTGATGCTAATATTTTGAATTTATATAAATTAACTAAAAATTGTAAAAGGTATTACATTTCTCAAAAATTGCCTTAAATCATAACATCCATTTATAGAATGAGTTTATTATGATCGTATGCTTTATTTGACTAATCTAATTTAATCTTGTTTTTAATCGTAACGCATGAGAATAATAGAATTTGAAATTGCCTTTCTTATAATCCATTCCCACTATTCTTATTGAAATGAATAAAAAAATTCTTCCTTTTTTTTAGTTTCATAAGTGTACTTAACTGCCACCATACAAATTGTCATAAAGAAAAAACTAAGTATATTAACAATGCTTTAAATTTCATTAAAAGGCACCAAAAGTACATGTATAGTATTAGTAATGATTAAAATAGTTGTTGATAAAATCATATTTGTCCCTTGTAAATATAAACAAAAATGCATAAAACAAGTCTAATAACCATAACTCCAATCATATTGAGTATTTGTTTTATTTGAATTATCCATTATCTTATTTATTTCTACTATGAATAAGACATAAAACTAATAAAATGANTAGTAGATCGTTTTAAATTAAACATTAAGTTCATTTCTATCATGGCATCATCAGTTTTTAAAAAGTTTAATTAAAAATTTGGAAGATAGTTTTCTATGTAATGTACAAATTTACAACAACAAAGAATAATTGATATTAAAATCTGAGTATTACATTTAAATTCAGATTAACAAAATATGTTTATTTTATTTCTTAATATAGTCTATAATTAAGTGATTAAATCTTAATGACTTTTTTGTGAATTTAAATCAAAAATTGATCTTTGAGTCAAATAAGATAAGTTAAATAGAGTCATTTAAATGTATGCATACTTTTAAAGCTTTTTATCTAGAAAATCTATTTATTTCTTTGATGAATGAGACTTATTTATGTTTGATTAAAAAGCAGCTAAAGTTGCACAATAAAATTAATCTTTAATTAATTATGAGACATTTTGTGATAATTCTTATAAAAAGATAATGAGCATATCATATCCTTTTTGATCTGGAATTTGTATCTTATCTAAAATAAGTAAGCATTAAACTTCATTATTTAAAATACATTTAGTTAATTTAACCTTATAAACAATTCTATTAATTTGATCAATAAAGTGTTTCTATTTCTCTTTTTTATCCAGGAAATTATTTTTTTTTTCAATTAACATACTTCTAACATACTATTCTAAATTATTTGCTTGATCGATAGATTGATGCTAATATTTTGAATTTATATAAATTAACTAAAAATTGTAAAAGGTATTACATTTCTCAAAAATTGCCTTAAATCATAACATCCATTTATAGAATGAGTTTATTATGATCGTATGCTTTATTTGACTAATCTAATTTAATCTTGTTTTTAATCGTAACGCATGAGAATAATAGAATTTGAAATTGCCTTTCTTATAATCCATTCCCACTATTCTTATTGAAATGAATAAAAAAATTCTTCCTTTTTTTTAGTTTCATAAGTGTACTTAACTGCCACCATACAAATTGTCATAAAGAAAAAACTAAGTATATTAACAATGCTTTAAATTTCATTAAAAGGCACCAAAAGTACATGTATAGTATTAGTAATGATTAAAATAGTTGTTGATAAAATCATATTTGTCCCTTGTAAATATAAACAAAAATGCATAAAACAAGTCTAATAACCATAACTCCAATCATATTGAGTATTTGTTTTATTTGAATTATCCATTATCTTATTTATTTCTACTATGAATAAGACATAAAACTAATAAAATGATATCACATAATTAATTAGATATGGCTTATTTGTTATCAATTTTTATAATCCAACAATTAAGAAGCAACTGAATCCAGCCAGAATTGAGTAGTAAATACTTGAAGCCAATATAAATTAAACCATATTTAAAATTGCAAATGTCTAATATAAGTATAATTAATTCTTACTAATGCGTACAGAGTAAAATTAAGATGTTCTTATATTATTTTAGGGGAGTTCTATTAAAGGTATTTATCTGATTGATCTTTGTATAAGAAATTTAGAGTGTATTTATTCAGCATCTTTTAGAAATTAAATTAAGATTTAAAAACATAATAAAGACAACATTAATACTAAAATATAATAGAATGTAAAATTATTAAGTTATTTTGTTTTCTTTATGTTTTCTATATATTGTTATTAATATAAGAAAAATTAATGATCATTATTAATAACAGTAACCAAATTAAATGATTATGTAAAGACCAATGAGTCTACTAGAATATGCATTATCAGAATCTAATTTGAGTATGAATATCAAAAGAAGGAATTTAACAATTGAAACTCAATCTATGTAAACAAGTCCAAATATATTTTAAAATACTTAAGCAGATTTAGAGTTATTGTTAGATATGAATTCATAAAATAAATAATGGGTTTCAATAGATTTGTTTAGATTGATAATACGAAAAATTGAGGAAAAATTTAGTGAATTTGAAGCAAGATTAGACAATCGAGAAGGATTTTAAAATTTAACTTAAAAATGTACAATATAAAAGAAGATGTCAAAGAGTTATTAATAAGCTGATTTTAGCTAAATGGATCAGAGTCAAGATGAATTAGACTCTAAATTGTAAATAAGTTAAACTAAAAGACTAAATACATCTTAACTTAAGAAATCAGAAATAAAAGAAATAAGAAATGATGAACCTTTAATTGGTAGATAAAATTTGTTAGAAAAAAAGTTGGTTTAATTGGAAGAGAAATAGATAAAAATTTAAAAAGAAGTTAGCAATTTCACTTTAGATATTGAATCAAAAATATAAGTATTAATTATAATTTGATAGTATAGTAATGTATAAAGTAAATAGATTGGAGTTTGGAAAAATTTAATAAATTTTCTTAAGAATTATTGGATAAAGTTAAGGATGTTACTGATAATCATACAGAAATATTTTAACATTTATAAAAAAATAAAGAAGATATAAAGTAAAATCGATATATTAGTTTTTTAGTTATGTTAGAATAAGTGCTGAACATTTTAATTAAAATGTATTAACGTAGATTGAATAAATTTCAACCTCTATTTAGAATTTGAATAATTTTGTAGGAAAACACGATTAAGAGTTGAATTATTATAAAGAAATAATTTAAATAACTGAAAGTGATATTTTAAAGATGATTTAATTAGAAAAAGACATACTTAAAATTGTATATACACGCTAAGAATAAAATGAGAAATAAGGAAAATGATTAAAAGTATAATTTTATTTTAATTATCAATTATAAATTGAAAATTATAAATAAAATTTATCAGATCTAGAATAATTGTTAATATAAAATTCTTGAAATAATGAATATTCTAAGAGATTGAAATTGTATAATAAATTTGTAATAATAAATTAATCCATAATGAATTCTGAATTATTCGCTTGTTAATTTTGCAAGGAATATTTCTCTATTTAAAGAGAGCCATTTTTATTACCAGATTGTGGTCATAGTGTATGTGCAGAATGTTTAACTGAAAAATTAAAAAATGGGAATTAATTTGTATGCAAAGAAGATGGGTATTAATTTGAATTATAATCACAGTGTACAAGTAACTAGGAATTAAATGAATGAATTTCCAAAAAACTTTGCTTTATTATAAATAATAAAAAATAGACCATTAAATAGGAAAATACAAATTAACAATTCTCCAAAATAATTAGAAATAGAATAAGATCCTGATAGATGTAAAAAACATGGTGAAAAAATGGATGTTGTTTGTGTTGATCATAGAATAAGAATATGTGCAAAATGCGCATTATTTGGAGACCATGTAGATCATAAAGTTGTTAATTTAGAAGATGCGTTAAAAAAAATTATTAGAAGAATTCAAGAATTAAAGGATATGTCAGAAAGACTAGATAAAGCTGCTAATGAAACATTTGAAATGTCTTAATATTTTAATAAAATTGAAATGCATTTTTAATCTAATTTAGATATTTAGATTAAGTAAGTCAATTCATTTTTTGATGAATTAAACATAATTTTAGATAATAAAAGAAATAAAATCATTTCAGAATGCAAGGAGAAAATAATTCATTCATAAGAACTTTATAATAAATATATCACAGAAGCATTTATAGATGTCTAAAGAAAAGTAGAATTATGGAGAATGACTAGTAAAGATAGAATTCATTATTATGAAGAATAATAAAAGTCAAATTCTATTCCTTTCGAATTAATATCTATTTCTTCAACTAATGAATTGATGTTAATAGGTGCACAATATCTAAAGGAATTAGAAACTACAAAATAATAAATATTACTCAAAATAGATGAACCCTCTTTTAGAGAAATTCATTTGGAACTTAAAAGTGATTTAGAATAATTTATAAATACTAATTTGATGGTTTATTAAAAAGATCCTCAATTTAGAGTAGAAAATTCCTTATTAAGACTTGAATCTATTACGGAATGTTCATTACTAAAAGATATTAATAATTCAATCATATAGGATCCATTAAACTAAAATCAAATGGAATAATGGATTAGATAATATTAAGAGAACTAATAGTATAAATAATAACTAAATTAATAACATTAATTTTAATAATAATAATAATAATAATCATAATAATAATAATAGTTTTTAAATGTATAATAATAATAATATCTATAAATCTAAAATTAACCATATTAATAATAATCCTATTTAAATCATTAACGAATAGATCCACCTGTAACATCCTCAGAATTGGATGATTAATATTTAAATAATTTAAAAAAATCTCCTTCAGCAACAACATTAGCAACAAGACGAACTGTCTCTCCTTCACCTATTCGAAGATCAATAAAATAAAAGAAAATAAATGAAAAATTCTAACCTTTAATTTTTAAGTTAAAAGGAGACAGTTTAGATTAGTGTGATTTTAGTTAAGCAGAATTAGGAGATGAAGGATTATTATCTTTAATTACTATAATAAAAAAAACAAAAAATTTGAGAGTATTGAAATTAGCAAAAAATAAGATATAAGATGGAGCAGCATAATAGTTGTTAATAGAATTAATAGAAAAATAAAATGAAAATGATTTAGAAAATAACTAAATATAAACTATTAATTTATCAAGCAATATGCTTACTGATAAAATTATTGATACCATTCTTGATTTATGTAAAATTTTTATTTTTTCTTAGGTAAAAAATACTCTAAAACAATGTAACATTAATCTTTAAATTAAATTTATCTAAATTAAAATATCATAAACTTAACAAGAGTGAAAAGAAAAGTAGATGAAATTAAAAAGTATGGATTAATAATTGCCATTTGACTTAGTTTTAATTTGATAATATATATATATTTATATTCATTTTAAAGAGTAATCTGAATTATTATCATTATAATCTTTTTTTTGTTTTGCTTTATTACTGAATAGTTGATCTAAGTTTAGTTATTTTAACTTGATCATCAACTTTTTATTCTTATAGTTTTTTGATTTCTTCCATTTAAACATATTTATCTTATTCAAATTATTAATATATTTCTCGTAATAAGTTTTCAAAAACAAGAAACATTTTATTTTATTTTTTGATAAGTGATGCTTTTAATTATTAATTTTCTTATTTTAATTTTTGAATCCATTAAAGTACAATTTATTCAATTTATTAAGTTCTAGTTTTCCAATGCAATAAACCTTATTTCATAACATGTAATCTTTTTTCATAGATAGATTTTATAGATGGAGCATAACTAATAGTAAATTATTTATTTTAATAAGATTCCAATTAATTTTCTAGATTATCAATTTTAGTTTCCTAAAATAATATTAATAAAAGATACCAAAATCATTTTTTCATCAATTAAATCTTAATACATTTTGGAGAGATTGGTTTATTAAGAAATTCTATTGACTTTTTTATCAATTTATTCTGTTAATAATTCTGAACTAAGTGCTTAACACATGAATTATAATTCTTTGAAGGCTTTTTCATAAAGCTTTTGGAATTCATCTTTGGCTTTATTATGAATATTATTGATTTGATTTTAAAGAATTTCTTTTTCTGATTATTCTTTAGCTAATCTTTAAGTAAATAAATCTAATTCTCCTTTGGTCATATGTAAATCTGATTCTAATGATAGAATATATTATTTAATATCTTAAGTAAGATCTGTAGCTTAAACAAATTCTTCATGTTATTATTTAATATCTTAGATGCCTTATTGTAATTATTATTATTTCAAATTATATTCTTCTGTTAAGGTAGTTAATTATTGTCTAAGAAATCTTTCTTATTTTGATTTTAATTCTAATTCTATTTTTAGATAGACATTTTCTCTTTCTAGAAAACTAGCTTAATCTTATCCTTGACATGGATCTTGAATAAAAAATAAAGAATAATACAAATTTATTTGAGTGCTTCAAGTTTATTTTATAAAAAACTAATTTATTATGGTAGTATATCATCTTTAGTTCCAGATTGTGAGATTTAATATTGATTTTCTTCTTTTGCACTCTAAGCTGAATATTAATAGTCATTATTAAGATTATTATTATTATTATTATTATTTTTATGTTTAGAGCTTGTGATAAAATTAAGTTCCTAAACATCTTACAAATTATTTTTAGATTCAGTAGTTTTCTTTTCTCTTCCAAAAGTATTATGTTCATTATTTCTTCCTGATTATTCAGATTATGGAGTTTTAAGATTTTCTTAATCATAAATATTAATTCCTAGATTATTTCTAATCTTTGACAATTTCTAAGTAATTTATTCAATAAATTGTGAATCATCTGCATATAGCATTTAATCATCAGCCTCAAATTAACTACTCATCTGTTAATATTATAAATATTATAATAATAAATTTTGATTTTTTTGAATATTTTTCAAATGTATATAATAATAATGATTTCTCAAGCTGGTCCAACAGAAGCTGAAGCACCCTATTTATCTTCAAAGTACATATAATCCATCATAAGAGTGACAGCAAGAAGTAATGCTTTATCTTCCTTTGATGCTCCCTTTGGGAATATCAAACTGAAATTATCAGCATCACCAATCATATTCTTACAACAATCTTTTCCTTTTTTCATTAAGTGAGCCACAACCTAAATTTTATTATAAAATCTTACTTCACCATTAGGTACTTTAATCACAAACTCAACTTTGTTACATGAATTACATGGACATCTGCACCAAAAATAAGTTTAACAACAACTTGCTTCAACAATGTACCTCAGATTGTCATTTATGTCTAGAACTTAACAACCAATGTTGCAGAAATACCAAGGATTAACGATTGTACCTAATTTTTTGTTTACATCATTTTCTACATACAATACTTCTAATCGAGGTCTATTCAATTATATAAACTTTATTTTTACCTATTAAAACACAAAAATGTGCATTAATATTCTCTCTTAAACTTAAACACAACTCGTTTGTCATCTTTCATGAACATTTTTGCCATTGCAGGTTAGAAATCCTTACATCCATAATTACTGATTTTCATTTCAAAAGGTCTTGCATTACCTCTAAAATAAACTTATAAAACTAATCACTTACGGAAGACAAATTCTTGCACACGTTGATGACTTTTCTTTGCATTTAAATAAGGCCTTCTATTTCTTTTTCTTACCTTAATCATCTGCAGCATACACCTTATATACATTTGGAGTCTCAAAACCTAAGAATAACAATAAAATATACCTGTAAGAGCTTCGAACAATTCAAACTTCTGTTTTATAAAGATACCATCCTGTTAACCCATAATATCCAAACAACTACTAGACATGGCTTGGATTAAATTTTGTGCCTATTCATTCATTTAAACAAGCACAGCTTATCCTAAATTTCCAACCTGATTGAATGCAGCTTACATTTTTAGAAGTCAAGTAAGTTTTAATGAAAAAAGTTAATATTATTTTGTATACATGATTAACAGTTACATATAAATATTGATAATTTCCATTACCATCACCAATCTTTTACAATTTCAAAATAATAATCAAATTACATATGGACAATGCCATCCCCATCAACAAACATTAATTTACCCTTATAATTTCCTCTTGAAAGAAATCCTGATGGAGCTATTTAAGATTCCATATCATATATTTGCATATGCTTTTTTGGTGCAAATGAACCAACCATCTCCTCATATGAATCAACTAAATATATTTTAAATAATTTAACACCTTTAATCCCATGTCTTTTTATTGTATTATATAATTTTAAACCAACAACACAATCATTTTTCACTTTAAAATGTAGACGAATATAATATTCTTCTCCTTCTTTTATTTTCATAGGACATTTTTCGTTTTCTTTCATTCCAAATTGTAAATCTAATGAAATTGATCTATCAGGATATTTTGGAAAGTGTATTTCCATTAAAAAGAACTCTACTTCAGGAGCTGAACAATTAAATTAATTCAATAATTACCTTCATCCTTTAGTTCATCTACATTTTCCAAAATTGACTTTTAATATCTAACTAAAGATTCATCTTATTGATTCTATTGACAAAGGACTGCTAAAGACTACCTTTTTTTATTAAAATTCATATTATCTAAGTTGAAATCTTTGAGCTGTGCAATTAAATTAAAAAATTACATCATTCTCTGACAATTTATCAACAGTGCAAGAATTTTATCGTTCTCTTACATCAGTTTATGGCAATAAGTTTTTTTACTACATAATATTGGCTATAAAATATTTATAAAATTAATAATTAATATATAATTATCAAAATATTATACTATTTAGTTATCCTTATGATACTTATTATCCATTATCATTTTTTTGATTAAAAACTTTATTAATTTTAAAATACCATTTATTATTGTTATTCTGACTTTCATTACTTTATAACTTATAGCTCTACTACTATTTATCTTAATCAATAATCTTCTTAAAAAGGTTTGATTTGATTATGTATTTTTAACAGTGAAAAGTCTTTTTGCATTATTTTTTGATTTACAATTATCATACAATCATCCCAATATTAATTATCATTCATCCATAATTTCAGATTTTTAATTTTCTTAAATTAATTAGTCTGAATCATTTTTAATTAGGAATAGATAAACTTAAATTTAAGATGTCATGCTATGTCTTAAAACTTTAGTCACAAATTAAACATTCAATTGTCCACTCTATTTAACTTTAAAAAGAGGCTCTTAATAAATTCTATATAGTAAACTATAAAGCTTAAATAAAGTTATTCATATAAAGGAAGAATTTCCTAAATTCACTCAGCCTCAAAAATAATAATACAATTAATTATATTAGAAATATTAATAATAATATAATAATTGATTATAAGGAAGAATCACGAATAATTGATATCAATATTATCAGGAATTGGAATCTTCCAAAAGTTTTAAGATTAATACTCTTCTTCATCTACAGGAGGAAAATAAAGATGGATATTCTTGTTTAATTCTACATAGCTAGTAATTTGATCAGTATTATATTTGTGAATTTAGCTTTCTGAGTCAATAATAAAGATTCTACTACTATCTATATTAACGGCTTAATAAGCTATAAAATCCTAAACAATATATTATAGAAATAATATACATTAGCTCTATTTCCAAATCCACAATAGAATGGATTTTCTCCAATAAATAGATTTCTGACTTCCTTTAATGCAGAAATCTTGAATAATTCTGGAGTTCCATCAATAATTTCTCTTTTGAATGCAGGAAATAAACTATCAGGACTTAAAATAACAGGTCCTTTAGGTAATTTATTATTCTGTTATTATAAATTATAAATGAATTCTTTAGTTTAATCTGCTTAACCTATAGCTCTAGCAGTCAAATACATAATTTTATAACCCATTGATTCTATATTCTAATAAAAATTAGCTACTCCATCATGATTCCAATCTGTTCCCAACTTTGGCATTAATTAACCTAATATATCTGATTTTGTTATAGTTCCATCTATATCTGAAATAACCAATTTGGTTTTTTGGTCATACAAATAGATAGTTCCATGTTATTCAACAATCTCATTCTTTTTAGGTATACATAATCTATAAGTAATTTTATTAGCTCCTTTTTGTAATCCCAATTATTTTAAAATAGATGAATGAGGTTTTAATATAGGTCTTTATAACTTTCTCCTTCTTTATATAGACATTGTACTCATATTATCTACTAAATCTTCACTTAATTTCCTTATTCTTTCATGAGCTTTAAATTATTGATGCTATTTTTAAGTCTTTTCATTATTATTTTCTCTTTCAACATTGTTTTTTTCTTCAATTTAATCTGATTCTTTCTTCTTTCTAAACATACCGTAGACACTATACCATTGTTGTTATTATTAAGGATTTTACTTTTTCTATTAATCCAAACAATCTATTATCATTTCTTAATTGTAAATTTATTTTGCTAACAATTATATTAATCCAGCCTCTCTACTAAAAAACTTATCTCCAATCTTAAAAATTAAATCTTTATTATTTATTATTTTTAATGAATCTTTTGCAAATGTTGTAAAAGATACTTTATGTTATTCAAACAATTATTATCTTTAAATTTATGTTAAATTTTATTATTATAATTATTAACCACATAATGAAAGTTCCATTGCTGATTAACGTGGAGATAAAGTTTCCTTATCACTATATGTAACATTATCTTTCTCAAAATCTTAAGTTTAAATCTATTTCTCTGATTATTACTATTGGAATTCTAAATTTTATTTATCTAATTATATTTTTGATAATTCCTAATATAATATTAATATTATTATTACAGATGACGTATCTTCCTATTAAAATTCTTTAAGATTATTCGTCGTCTCAATCTTAACTCCATTTTCCTTTTTTTAATTCGATCCTTTTGACCAAAAATTAAATTTTTGAAGCCAATTACTATTTTTCTTATCACTATTAAATAAATCATCAGGCTTCTAATAATTTATTGGTTGTCTAAATATTGATGCCTCATCAAAATGACTATATAGATTATCTATTTTTTTATACCTTATTTTCTCTGAACATGTATCATCAGATTAATAACCAGAAGAAATGGAACTTTTTTCGAAGTAAGCTGCACCTTCTTTTCCTAATCTCATTTTTACATTTGTCAAATTTCCATTAACTATCAGATCAACCTAATAATCTTAACCGTCATATTTGCCAAATTTAACATGAAATGGAGTAGATTTCAACGATCCATTATTTTATTAAACAACAATTATATCAATGCATCCACTTAAATAATACTTAAATATATAGATTCAAATTCCATTACTTGTCTTCGATCAAATTTTTTAAAAAACTTTTAAGTTAAAGAGGTCATGATTATTAATAATATATATTAATCATTTTTAATCTTTTTTCTTCTTTTATTTTAAAAACTCTTTCCTAAGAGCAGCATCATTTCTTTATAATTATTCTAATCTCTCCTTTTCTATTTATGCTTTATTCATATCACCAGCAATCATACAAATTCTATCATTTCTTTTTGTATGATCTGATTCCAAATTAGATTTTAATATCTACATTGCAAATGGTTTTATCACCCTTGCATCCCAATATCTAATCCCATCAAAATCTGCAAAACCCATATAACTCCCAAATAATTTACTAAGTACTGTCTTTCCTTACTTTATTTCACCTTCAAAATAATCTGTTGGTTTATTCTTCACTTTTCCCAATTATACAATACAATTTAAATCTAATAATCATTTTATCTTTATATATACTATTAGCCTCATCAATAAAAGAAAGAGCTCCTTAAGATTCATTCTTCATTGTTCCAAAGAATGTACCTGAATAATGTTCCGAAGAAAAAGTACAAACTATCTTCTAATCTGGAAATTAGATTGTCCTTTTTCCGTGATTCAAAATTGTTAATGAATTTAATCCTGCTTTTGCTTCATATAGAGAATATCCGAAAAATTTGTAAGATCTTTTAGGACCATATACTAAAAAATAAGATAAAGGAGGATGATGAGATATCTATTTTAATATTTCAATTTTACTTATTCACAATAAAGTTATGTACCATCTTCATAACCACCTTCAAAAGTTTCTCCTAAAATTGGATTGAGAGGTTTAAGAAAGGAATTAGCTTAAATGTAATTAGATATGAGAGCAATAATACTAAGTTTCATTCTTTCTAATGGCTTTTAAAGAGAAGCAGCCTTATTCATATAAAGAGGAAAGAGAATGGTTTGCATAAACGTTTTTTCTAAGGCAGATTTAGGAATCATCGCTTTAATCTACAAAATTAAAAGAAATCAATTTTACAGGAAAGGAAACAGTTGTTAAATTAAAATTTCCACTTAGTAATTTCTAACCAACCTATTTAATCATGTTCTTTCCAACACTTCTTGCTAAATCAATAATCTTTTCATCTTAACAAGCTGTGCCTCCTTTTTTATGAGCCTATTGAACTCTATATTCATCTTTATAATCAACTTTTCTAAAATTTAAAGCATAATTCATTATAGAATTATAATCTCTATGATTACAATGTTCTCCTTCATCAAAAACAATAGAAACTTTAACAAGATCTATTTCATCTGAATCTTCCTCTTAATTTTATTCAGTTTTACTAGTTTTATGTTAAAGTTGTTATTGTTCATTTTAGATAATAATTTATTATTATTCTTCAAATTACTTTATATTATTATTTATTTAGTTATTAGTGGTTTCTTATTTATTATTACTATGATTATTATTACTAAGATTATTATTACTATAATTATTATTACTGAAATTGTTCTCGTTAACATCATTAATTTCATTTTTGTCATCATCTTTTTATTTTTATTCATTTAATTCATTTGCTTAATTTGCTGCTTATTCAAATCCATTCGATTAGAATTCACTTATAAATTAAACTTTTGGACTTGTATCACTTGTACCATTAGTTTATTTCTTCATATGAACTAAACAAAAAATATAATAAAATTATTACCTTTTATACACTTTGCTATTTATACACCTGATCCTGCACTTTCATCACTAATATCTTCAAATTTAAATGATATTTATTTTTATGCACTTCCTTTATTAGGAGATGATAAAGTATTCATAACAATGATTTATGTTTGTTATTTACTTACAATTATAAATTCTTTAGTTTCATCATCTTAATTATTCATTCTCCTAAAATTCTTTTTGTAAAATTCAAGTGCATTATTTGATAATAATTTATCTCCATCTAAATCATTTTAATCATCCACATATTATGCTGAAAACATACTTCCTTATATTAATGCATAATCAGCAACATTCAATTTAGATGTATGTATATATATTTTGACATTATCATTTTTTGCTATTTCAATGTAATCATTTTAATTAAATTCTGCAATATCAGTTTTCAATTTCAATAATTATCCTTTTCCTGATGGAGTTATTTTCTTTTTTGAAAATTTAACTAATTTGAATATTGCTTAATGTAAAATCTTTGGATTTCTATTTTATATTAATAGTAATTTACTAAAAATTATCAAATAAAATGATATCAATAGTTTAAGTAGATGGATTAAATATAATTCCTAATATTTCTTATTATTTATAGAAGGATCCTATTATTCCTCCCAGTAATTCAATATTGCTAATCAATAAATTAAATCCACTATCATTTTTTAACAAATAATTATTATTATTATTTATTGACCAATCATTTAAAGACACAACCACTCCTGTTGTTAACTTAAACTCATTTCCATCAATTCTAACTACTCCTATTCCCAGAAGAGCATAAAAAGCTTTTACATTTTGCATCTTTGATGAAAAACATATCTGTAAATATCCTAAAATCTTATCATAATTTTCATTCTCATCAATCATCAACTTAAATACTCTTCCTTTTGCCGTTCTTACATAAATCACTGACTTATATTATAAACCTTTTTATTACTTTCTGATCATTAACCTACTAATAATTTTTTTTCTTTCTTAAACTTTATTCACATTTTTATATATCAACTTCATCTCTAACAAAATCTCCCTTGTTCAAAGAATAATAATTATTATAACTATTTGATTATTCCGTTTTGTAACACAATAACCTCCCTTTTCTTAAGTCAAAGGAAAAGAAGTAATTGTAAAGTGTTCCCCATTTTATATATGATACTGCACCCAATTTTCTATCAATTTTTATTGCCTTTCATTATTACACTAATCATTTACTTAAGACTTTGGAAAAGGTGCCTACTTTATATCCTCATCATCTTCCAACTCATAAATAACACGGTTATTTTATTGCATTTATTATTAATATTTATAAACTTAAAAATAAATTATCTCATCAAGTTCATTCTTTTCATACTTTATTTAATTAATCACCCATTTTTAATCTTTCATAATTATTATAAAATTATAACTAAAATTCTTTTACCTACAAGAATTTATTCATATTATTTTCTATTAATACATCATTCTAAAGTTTTCAACATCCTTTTTAAGCCTTTTTAAGGCTAATTAAAAAACTTAATAGAAGTCATTAAATCTTTTTTCAAAGTAATAATAAAAATTATATTTTTTTAAAAAACACAAACTCATATTAAAAAATGAATTTTGATATTAATTTCCAAATCAATGAAAATTGTATTGTTTATTAGAAATTATTTATTAAAATATTTCAAATTATATTCCACTATCATTGTTAAATATTGGTTTTAAGTATTTTTGAGAAATTACTCCAACTTTTTAATCTTATCAAAATTAATAGTTTCTTCTTTTGCCCACAGAAAATCTAAAATCATATTGGTTTAGTGATCTTATTCATTCTATAATGACAATTACTGCTGCTACTTAATTTCTTTCTCTATATTCTATTTCAATAACTATCTAGCTTTTTTTAGTTGATCATTATTATTTTGATGTCTTTGTTGATTTTTCATTGAATTGTAATTATATTTCTTATCATCTTCTTAATAGTTTTTTTCCTGCAACATAGTTATTAGGTGAAAACCAGTAATTTTATGATATAAATAATTTTTATTGTTTACAATTATGACATTTTCTTTTTAATTTAGATTGTAAAAGATATCCAAATATTTTGAAAATTAAACTTCATTGATTTGAGATGAAATTGGAAACCAAAATTAAATTTTTTTTAATAAGTTCTTTTTTCAATTTTCTTCTTATTTAATAATTATTCAAATTTATCATTATCGAACTCAGAATTCTTAATAATAGAGATTTATTCATACCTCTTATGAGACAATTATTTTATCTAATTTTTCTTGATACTATAATGTTTCATCAACTGAAGTTGAATTAATAAATGAAATTGGATGCACATCACAAATCGGAGAGTATTCTTCATATATACTCCGTAGATCAAGTCTTATTTGATTAATAATTTTATTTAAAATTTCTAAATCAGATTTTTTAGTTAAACATTTTTATAATTATTTAATTTGAAAAAATATCTGTTGTTTTTTAAGTTGAGAAAGATTAGTGATTTTTTAATTATCATAAAATTTAATCATTTTCCATTTATATTTGGAGTTTAAACAATTCTAATTTTATATATTAAATTGAGTATTGATAATTTCATCTCCTAAACTCCATTAAATATGTAAAATAGAATTAATAATAACTTAGACATGACTGATATCTTGATCTTTAAAGATTTATTGAAAAATCTGAAGTATTCTTTATTTAATTGTGTATTTGAAATATGGATGATTTTCTTAATTTAAGAATTGCTTGAGTAGTATTATATCTTTCTTCTTTATCATTAATGAATGATAAAAAAGTGGATATGCAATATCAATTGGATTGATAACAACAATAATTAAATTTGGATCAATTTGAATTTTAGAGATTCGATTAAAATCTTAAATTTAATTATTTAGGGAAATAGATGAATAGATCACCAAATCTTAGAAGAGCTTAATATTTGAGTCCAAGTTAAGTAATAAGTGTAGTTAATTTGTAGTTTTGAAATCTGATTAAAAATTCTGATGTTTTGATGTAAATTTCTCTAAGATAATTGGTTAAAACAGGAACAAGATATATATTATTATGGAATGTAATAATTGATATTAATAATTGAATATTTATATATTGATATGATTATAATAGTATAAAATAAATATAGTTTTGATAATACATGTATTTGATTTCAATATTTTTTGAAATAACAATTAAACTTTTTTGGAATCTTAGTAGTGTCAATTATTCAATAAGAAATGCTTAAAAATTAGATTAATTAGATTAATAGAATGGTTCAATAGGTCCTGATATATATAGTGAAGTATTTATTCATGCATCCCATTAGTATTATATATTATAAATTAATACTTATGTGAATTAATTTAAATATTATCTTTAAAAAATGAGTGGAAGTATGTATGATTTATCAGTGGCCACATATTCTTAAGAAGGACGTATCTATTAAGTAGAATATGCTACAAAAGCAGTAGAAAATTCAGAGTAATTTGAATAAACGAATAATTATTAGGACTGTGATTGGAGTAAAATGTAAAGATGGAGTGATATTGGCAGGAGAGAAATAGAAGTTTTCTAGATTATTGGAAGACAATACAAATAAAAGAATATATAATATTGATAATTAAACTGGAATGGCACTATGTGGTAAATTACCAGATGGAAGAAACATTTTATAGAGAGCAAAAGCAGAAGCATC